ATCTTTTTTCAATCTTTACTCAATCTTTGGATTCGGCATCCCGCGGGGACAATTGAGCAGCTGGAAAGGACGCGCCGGGTCACCACCCGAGACAATCCGACCGCCGAACGAGGCAGGCGGTCGCCCGACTCGCGCACAATCCGCGCGCGGAACGAGGCAGGCAGTGACTGACGCGCGCACCGCCCGCGCGCGGCGCAGGGCGCGCCTGGTGGTCTGGAGCCCCCCCCGCGGATCGCTGGCAACGCGTTATCAATCTTTTTTCAATCTTTTTTTCAATATTTTTTAATCTGTTCAATCTTTTTTCAATCTTTTTTCAATCTTTTTTCAATCTTTTCCTGGCCACTTCAATCTTTTTTCAATCTTTTTTCAATCTTTTTCCAATCTTTTTCCAGACGTTTCAATCTTTTTTCATTCTTTTTCCCAATCCTTCCCTGCGCAATTTGTTTTGTGCGCAGTGTTCGGGAACCCCTCCCCCCCCCCCCTCCCCGCCCCCCCCCCCCCTTCCCCTTTCCCCCCCCCCCCCCCCCCCCCCCCCCCCCCTCCCCCCCTCCCCCCCCCCCCCCCCCCCCCTCCCACAACGCGCACACACACACACACACACAACACACACACACACACACACACACACACACACACACACACACACACACACACACACACCGCACACACACACACACACACACACACACACCCACACACACACACACACACACACACACACACACACACACACACACGCACATACCCTTCCCCCCCCCTCCCCCCCCTCTCCCCCTCCCCTTCCCCTCCTCCCCCCCCCTCCCCTCCCCCCCCCTTCCCCCCCCCCCCCCCTCCCTCCCCCCTCACCCCTTCACGTCCCAAGACGCGCCCCTCTCCCCCCCGAGCCCTGCGCAACATCGCAGCTCGCCCTTCTCATTTTTGCCAGCCCGCCCCCCCCCACCCCCCCCCCCCCCCCCCCCCCCCCCCCCCTTCACCGCCGCCCACATTCCAAGGCGCCCGCCCCGTCCTCCCCTTCCTTCATTTTTTCCCCCTTCCCATCTCTTCCCCCTCCCCCCCCCATCCCCCCTCCTCCGCCCACGGCTGCTCATTCCCCCCGCTTCCACTGCCCCCCTTCACTCGCGCGCGCGCGCCCGTCCCCGCCCTTCCTCCTGGCGGCCAAATCCATGTTTTCCGCCCTGCATCCCCCCAGTTAACAGTTACCGTAAACCTGAGGGATCGCGTAGTAACAGGAGCGCAATTGAGTAGCGCGTTTGGTTGGTTGGCAGGTCGGCAGACTGGCTGGCAGGTGTTTATTGGTTGGTTGGCAGGTTGGTTGCCTGGTTGGTTGGTTGGCTTTGGCTGCCAGGTTTCGTTGGCTGGCAGATTTGGCAGGCAGGTTTTGTTAGTTACTTGGCAGGTTGGTCGGTTGGTTGGCTGGCAGGTTGGTTGGCTGGTTGGTTGGCTGGCAGGTTGGTTGGCAGGTTGGTTGGCAGGCTTGTTGGTTGGCTGGCAGGTTGGTTGGTTTGCAGGCAGGTTGGCTGGCACGTTGGTTTGGTTGGTTGGTTGGCTGGCAGGTTTGGTTGGTTGGCAGGTTGGTTGGCAGGCTGGTTGGTTGGCTGAGAGGTTGGTTGGTTTGCAGGCAGGTTGGTTGGCTGGTTGGTCTATTGGCACGTTGGTTGGCACGTTGATCTTGGCACGACTTTTCTATGAGGTTACAAGTATCGTTTATTTCTATTATCTTGCCAAGCCAAGGATTTCTTATGAGGTGATGTTACCGAGGCTTTCTCACATTCTATGTTCTCTCGCGCATCATAATATATGACGCTGAATCAGTATGGATGGATCCGTCTGCATGAATGCATTCATTCTATTCCTTTCTGGTAAATCAGCCGGACTCAGTCTGCCAGGCGTCGCAGTCCTGGATGAAGCAGCTTGCCAGGCTATGCAAAAAAAAGAGACAGTGGGCAGAGGCAATGCCACGCGCAGCGTGCAGAGGCTATGCCGCGCGCAGTGGGCAGAGGCTGGCCGCTGAACATCACAATTGTCAGAGTCACAGGTCGCAATTGATGTTAAGCGCCTTTTTACTCAAGGCTCGATGGTTTCCTATGTTATTGCATCTTACTCGGGACGATCTAAGTACACTCTATGTTGACTGTCATCCTATTTCATAGTTCGAAGGGCACGCCGGCCGCCAGCTGGCGGATTGATTTCGCCATTTCCACAGGATTGGTTTGCCGCTTCCAGTTTGCCACTTCCACTTTTTTTGATTTGGGCCTCGTTCAAGAGATGTCATTCGTCAGGCTGGTTGGTGACCCTCGGCAGGTTGGCTGGCTGGTTGGAGGGCCGTCTTGGAGGACCGTCTTGGGGGGCCGTCTTGGGGGGCCGTCTTGGGGGGCCGTCTTGGGTGGGCCGTCTTGGGAGGCCGTGTTGGGGGGTCGTCTTGGGGGGTCGTCTTGGGGCCGTCTTGGAGGGCCGTCTTGGGGGCCGTATTCGCGGGGCTCTCTCGGATGCCTTCTGGGACTCTTGGAGCCCCAGGGGGGGTTCTTGTTTCTTGGTGTCATCTTGGAGGCCGTCGGCCGAAGAAGGACGGTGTGGGGCGGTGAGTGTGGGGGGGTGGAGGCGGGGGGGGGGGGGTGGCTAGTAGTGTTGCTATTTCCGAGCCCGACAAGTTGCCCAGTAAGACTCACTTGGGGTGCGCTTGGGGCTGGGCGTTCTGGGAGTCACCCTGGTGTATTCCTGGGCCAATCCTGGCCTGTCTTGGGCTCTTGTGTTGTCTTATCTTGGAACGCTGGTGGGGCCCCTGGAGGCCCGAGGAGCCCCCGCCCCCCAGCTTCCGCCTTCTTGGCGCACCTCTGCCCCGCCGCGTCGCCTTCCACCAGGCCCGTCTCATCCGTAGCTGGCGTGGTTCACTTGTGCCGCTTGGTGGCACTTCATAGTGCGGGCGTTTCGCGACATTTCTCAGCGCGGACGCGCGCGTGGGCATCAGTTCTGATGGTATCGGTACCGCCCTGCCCCGCCGAGGATACCAGCCAGTTGTCCACGGATGGCCTTCTCAACCAGCTCCTCCAGTCAGAACCCGAGCCGCAGACCGCGGCACCCTTGGCCATCACGGACACCGACCACGACGTCAAGCCTGTGCCACCTGCGCGTATCAACCAGCGCAAACCGTCAATGACCATACGTACCATCGCGGCCCAGATCGCGAAGAAGATCGATGCCTCGCCGATCATGGTGCAGCTGGTCTTGGATGCCATCCCGCCACTTATCTTGAAGGAGCTCAAAGAGAACGGGCGGTTCGCATGGCCAAACTTCATGACCTTCGTGACGGAGACGAAGTTCCCAGGGACAAAGGCCGAGGTCCTCTTATGCAAGAGCTTCGCCAAGGCATCGAAGTGCCATTCTGATTTCGTCAAGATCGTCGAACCGACGTGCAGTTTCAAGAGGAAGTGGGTGGTCGACTCGCAGTGGATGAAGAACACGTCGCCGACGGTCATCCCGCTCCCCGACGACCAGCAGCCACACGTCGACGACGGCGACCTTCCGATTTCGATTGGGCAGGATGGCGCGGTGCTTCCTATCGCATCGCCTGAAAATCATGAGAACCCGAGGGCCTCTTGGACCCCTTCTTCGTCGAGTGGTGTATCTGAGTCATAGGGGGCGGCTGCTGCCGACGTCCTGCTGGACATGGGGTACTGCACGCTGTTTCGCAAGGTGTTGCGATGGGAGTGTCGGCGTGATTCATGATCGTGGCAGCTACTGAGCTGCTACTGCGTATGGGGCCATCAACTTGTCACACGGCTGTAGCGTGGCAGAAGCAGGGTGTCGCTTTCTCGTGCCAGCCATTAGGGATTCACGTTTACAGGTTGTTGACAGCGATGCGTTGGTCACACCGCAGTTCATTTTGAGTTTGCACCGAACCGAGCGCCGCCATCTCACTTTCGACATCTCCTGTCATCGCAAGTCACCCTTGCCTTGGGGCCGTCTTTGTGTGGTCGTCTTGGGGCCGTCTTGGGGCGGTCGTCTTGGAGCCGTCTTGGAGGCTCGTTGTCCTTTGGGGCCTTCTTGGGGTGGTCGTGGGAACTCTTGGGCTCTCTGGGGCGCGGGGGGGGGGGGGGGGGGGGGGGGGGGATTGCATCTTGCGCGCCATGCCGAGCCATCGGCTCTCCTGAGCCATCTTGGAGGTCCTCTGGGGCTGCTTGGGTTTCCTTCGGAGCCACCTTGGACAATCTTGGACGCGCTAATCGGCCGCGCCATCCGTGTATCCCACTCAAGGGCCAGAAGGGTCGTTTGCACCATCCGCCACCTGCATTCTCATCATCCCCCTCCAACTCACCACCTCCCCCCCCCCCCTCCGCGCCTCCAAATCCCCGTAATCATCCCCTTCCCAATCCCGCGCCCGCACACGCACGCACGCACATACAAACGCACCACCTCACCCTCCTCATCCTTATCAGTCTACCCCGCGTCCCCATCGCTCTCGTCCTCCTCGTCCATCTCCTCCCCCCATCCTCATCGTCCTCATCCTCCTCATCCTCCTCCTCCTCACCCCCCTCTGCATTGCCATTTTAGCTAGAGTTTTTAGCTTGGGGAGAAGCTTCCACGGCAGTTCAATCTCTCGGTGCACTGCACTACAATTGCACTTCCGTGCCCCCACAGGGCACATCCATATCATAGTGGCGAAGACGTCGCTGTTACGTATCTTCTTTGGTCTCGCTGCGGCGTTGGTCGTCGGCACGGGCCTCGGTTTACATATGAAGGGCTCGAAGAGCGATGTCAGTCACGGCTCGAAGCGCACTAGTATTCGTGGTGGAGGCTCCGTGGTGTCTTGTAACCCGTCTGTTGCGCCGACTGCGGCCAAGAGGGCCAAGAGGGATGTGATTGCTACCAAACCACAGCAGGACAAGAAGTCCGCCGACGATGCCGCCCGAGACGCTCGGGCCAGCTCGAGCCGAACACTTCGATGCGGACGTTGTGCAAGGGCGCCTGGGCCGCAGACAAGATGGGGCGAGTGCGCTGGCGAGAAGCCCAAGGGCCCCGCGTGCGAGGCGTGCTTCTTGAAGCAGAAGGACGGCTTCGCCTTCCTGACGTTTGCGGAGTTCGTGAAGCTCGAGAAGACCCCTGAGGGCAAGAGGGCCATGGAGCAGGTGGCGGCCCTGCAGAGTGGCGGAAGCGCTACGTGGGCGCCCGCAGGGGCGACTGATGACCACAGCATCGAGATCAAGATCTCCAGGAAGGCAGTCGTGATGAACAGCACTGAGTACACGAAGATCATTGGGGCCGCGAGGGGCGTGAGGCACCCTGCTCTTCCTGAGATGACCATCCCGCGCGAGGATGGCGATGGCGATGAGACAGTGTACGTCTTCAAGCATCCGTACTCCCCCCATCGTGAGATTGAGGTCTCCACGGTGCTGCGGTCCACCAGCTCGGCCAGCCACCTCGATCGCGCTTCCAACGTCTTCGAGGACCAAGCTCGCATGATCGTCCAGCAGCTCGTCGATAAGCGCAACAAGCAGGTTGGCATGACCATGTTGCTGCATCCCACTGCGCCCTTGCGGACGCCCCAGTACGTTCGAGACAAAGTTCAGCGAGCTGGAACCTTTGGGAGACGGTCGGGCGAGCCCAAGGCGGGTGACGCTTGTGAAGAAGACGCCTCCGATGCGTCAGATCCCATTGAGACCGACAATGAGCCCGAGTGTGAAGGGGGCAAGCGCCAGCGCACTGGTACCGCTTCGGGGGCACTTTCACCTGCGGTGGCTGCGACTCCGAAGTTCCCGCATCCGACGGCGCCGATGGTGACGACCCCCAAGGCCAAGGCCTTTGCTGAGCCGCCACGCATGTCGCCAGCGCACATGTCGGCGGCTGCCTCTGCAGTCAGCAGCGCCCGACTCCCCGAGCCGTCGCCGACGCGGTCTGCCGTGGCCCGCTCCAGCGTCGGCGGCAGTTTTGACGGTGGCGGCTGCGGCTCTGACATCGGCGACTCAGTCAGCCAGCTAGCCGACGGCGATGATGAGGATGAAGATGGCGACGCGGGCGGTGACTGGGACAGCAACGAGACGCTCTACGCGAGGTGGAAGCGCAAGCTGTCCTTGAAGGCCGTGGTCAATGGCCAGAAGTTGCAGCGCCAGGTTCGGTTCGCAGAGAAAGCACTCGTCAAGATGAGCCCGAGCGACTCCGCCAGGATGAGCGCGCACTTGAGCCAAGTGCGGGGGGGGGGAAGCGAACGCACCTCCACCGTGGATGGGGCCGAGGGCGGGGGGGATCGAGGACAGTCTCCACCATCTTCGCCTCCTCCTCCTGCTTCTCGGCACCCTTCCCCACCTGGGCCCCGCCTCCTCTTCCACGGGGAAGGGTGTGTGGGTGTGTGTGTGTGTGTGTGTGTGTGTGTGTGTGAGTGTGTGTGTGTGTGTGTGTGTGTGTGTGTGTGGTGTGTGTGGGGGGGGGGGGGGGGGGGGGCAGGTTAAGGAGGGATGGGAGACAGGGTTAGGAGGAGGAGGATGAGGAGGAGGAGAAGGCGAGAAGGAGGAGGAGGAGGAGGAGGGGGAGGAGGAGGAGGAGGACAGGATGCTGGCCTCAACCGTAGCCATTTGTGCTCAATCAGTTGCGGCCGTGCGCGGTCGCCGCGGCGCAACGCAGCCGCGGCGACCTACAGAGCCGCCGCCGAACGCTGCCTGCGAGCAGTGCCCCGCTCGGCTGGGGCCATTTTGGGCCTTCGGTGGGGTTCCCCCTATGGGGCCACCAAACGTGTGAGGGGTGTGCCGAGATGGGTGTGGGTGAAATCAAGACATCGGAATGATGATGGCGATGGTGGTGGTGGAAGGGAGGAGGAGGGGGAAGGATGAGGGAGGATGGGGAGGAGGAGGAGAGGAAAGGAGTGATACGCGGGGCGACGTCTTCAAAACGAGGACCCAGCACCGCAGGGGGGCTGGAAAAAAAAACGGAGTTGGAGGAGGAGAATGAGGAGCAGGAGGAAGAGGATGAGGCGTAGGGGGGGGGGGGGGGGAGGCGGAGGATGAGGCACCATGGGATACAATGTAAACAGGTCGTCGAGCCAGCTGTCCGCACCCACACCCATCCTCCTGGTGAGTTTACTACTGCCGTAATGTTACTTCAGGCTTTTGTTTATTTCGCATCCGATGAAAACTGGACTGGCGTTCGCGGTGTCTTGAAACCTGCGGCGGGTCAAGGTTGTCCCAGTTCTGGCCAGGATGCCAGGGCGTTCTGACGTGAACGTTTGACATCGTAGTGTTTGTAGACTGCGCCGTCCCTGCACGCATGCTTTTATTACCTTGCACATATTACGGTCGGGGGAGGTAACGGGGGGTTCGTGCTCATATGTTTTGCGTGCTCCTCAGGTTGAGAAGGTGAAGCAGGTTGCCCCAGGACGGATCATTTCGGCGGGGAAGTCTGCTCGCGAGGAGGCTTACGCCATCTTGACTGCCAACGCCATCCCGCTCCCTGTGGAGAGTCAGTGTGCGCTGCTATCGGAGACCGTTGCGGCTTTGAAGCAGAGCTGCTGGGTGCGTGGTGACTTCTTCCCGCTGGTTGCGAAGATGTCCTTCGGAATGGAAACGCCAATGCCGTTTGACCCTCTGAACCCGACCTTGAATTCCATTTCGGATATGGACCCGCAGACCAAGAAGCACAGTTTCCAAACAGTTCTTTTGGAGGAGACTTTCTGCGAAGCCCTTCTCAAGGGGAAGGCGGAGCTGGGTACCGTGATGGCCTTCGGGAGAGCGTACACGTCTTTCTTGGAGGATAAGTTGGCCGAGCAGGAGGATGACTTTGACCTGGCAGACGGGTCGAAGTTCACAAAGTTCGTGGCTGCCAGTCTGGACATCGTCCGCGCCGTGATGGCCATGCCCACGCTTACCGTCCAGTCCGTTGTGGAGCACGCAGAGGAGGTCCAAGGATTGAAGGTGGCGGCCGAGAAGTCTTCGAACACTTTGCGTGGTGCTGTCGGGCAGGTGCTTATGGCGAACGACTTCTGGGTCGTGCTTGTGAACGCCTTTTTGGACGCCAAGGTTACATGCAAAGCGAACTACCAGCAGATCTCGGACGGCGTCGAACGCGTTGAGTCGATTACGCACGCCTCACTATCTGCTGACTTTGCCGCCGACTTGGTTAAGCTGGAAGCTGAGTCGGGGCAGGTCGCGTACTACCGCGAGATACTGCCTGAGGGATCCTTCGCCGAGCTCGAAAGGGTGGTCTCCGAGAAGGTGACGGCCGCGTATGAGCACTTCAAGGACTGCGCCTCGAAGGACAGCGTCTACCCAAGCAAGTTTGGCAATGCAATGCAGAAGGCACTGACGGAAGCCTCGATCGCGTACACTTTGGATACAAACATGGCCTCTATGATTGACCAAGTGGCCCAGCAGGTGGCCGAGTCGACACACGAGTCATCCATCAAGAGCTTCACGGACGTTTGCTCCAAGATCGCTTCCCATGATGGCAAGGTCGATTGCGATGAGATGCTTAAATTGTACAGTGATCTCAAGACTTGCTTCGGGAACGCGTCGTCTCAGAGCAAAAGGAAGGGTTGGGGCGATGCTGACCCAGTACAGGATGCGTGCAAAACCATCCTCAACAAGTGCATCGCCGACGACGTCTCCCCAGAGAAAGCTGAGAAGGCCTTGGAGGCCGCGAGGGTTACATCAGACGTTCTTCAAGCGATCGCCTCTGTGCCTGGGAACTCACAGAACCCGAACTCGACGCAGAACTTCGAGGTCGACCAGGTCGCACTGATGTTGAGGGTCCGCAGGACCATCGCCGAGCATGCTTCCACGGACAAGGAGACGTTGCTGACTAGAGAGACGGACACTGGCACCATTCTACCACAGCTGCGCTCCGAGGTGCACGATGTCGCGGTGTTCCTGGACAGCATCAATGCCATTTCAGAGAAGGACCTCACTGCCGATGGCTACTGGGCGAAGGATGTGTGGCTCGCATGCGTCAAGGTCTCGACGGATGCGTCTACGTTCATGTCTGACATGGCTGCCTCCGCTGACCAGGCCTTCCGCGACGCGTGCGAGCAGTCCATGGTGAAGATGGAGACCGCAATCAAGCAGGTAACGCCCGAACAAGATAAGTGGGACCAGCTGGTGGCGAAGAAGCGCCAGTGGCAGAAGATCGCAGGACAAGCGGCGGAGATTTTCCAGCATTACAAGAAGGACGGCGGCGAGGATGAGATCAAGGCCATGACCACCGCAGTGGGCCACTATCAGCAGGCGTGCAAAGCCTACAACAAGACTGTGGACATAGACAAGGTCAACGGCTGGAAGAAGGCCGTAAACTCCGCGGTGATGCTCATCGTGTGCGCCTCCATGACTATCGCCCTCACGAAGGAGGGGAGCTCGACGGTCGCGATCCGCGACGATGTGAAGTCTGCGACGGGGCTGCTGAAGCTCGCCTACGGCCTCCAGGCGAAGGACTTGCCGACGCCGCTGCTGGTCCGCTCGCAGGAGGCCCTCAGGCTCCGTTGAGGGGCCGCGCGGGGCGGTGCGGGAGCCGTCGTGGCACGAGGAGGTGTGGGCGCCACCGTGGCGCGATCGATCCTCCTTGCCGCCTCCTCTTTGGGGGGAGAATGGGGGGGGGGGGGATGATGGGGAGGAGCTAAGCTGCCAAGTTGCATCTCGTCAAGGTGCTCAGTTGCTAGGTTGCACGGTTGCTCGCACATGTGTCGTTAAGTTACTACATTACAGTGAATGTTTTGCTGTACGAGTGCAAGGTTGCAAGCAATGCTAAGTTGCCGATGTTCTAAGTTGCTAAGTTGCAATGTTGCTCGCACATGCATGCAGTGTTGTCACGATACTAAGTTGCAAGTTGCCAAGTTGCTAAGTCGCTAAGCGGCTAAGTTGCTAAGTTGCGAAGGTGCCGGGATTTTGGTATGGTCGTGCCAAGTTGCATGTCGCTAGGCTGCTGATGTTTCGACGCATGTGCTACGTTGCGAAGTTGTTAAGTTACAAGGTAGGTCGCGCGCACATTCTTACATACGCACATACATACATACATACATACATACATCTGATCCGTTGAGAACAGAACCTTCTTTGATGCCACTTGGGTGCGTCATGGCCTTGCTTTGGGGTGCCGTGGAACGCGTTGGAAGGCATCTTGAGCGACCTTGGGGATTCTTGGATCATCTTGGGCGTCATCTAAGGCTCTCTAAGGCCATCTGGGGGCCACATTGGGCAACCCTGGATGTCCTGACGGGTCGCGTGGCGCCCGCTCCCAATCTAGGGGGTGGGGGCCCACGGGGCCCCAGAAGGCTTCCCGCTACCCCCCCCCTCCGCCCTCTTTCTCGTCCACCTCCCCGTCCCCAGCACTCGTCTACTTTCTCATCAATGTTTTATGTTGCGCTTCCCTGTCCCGCCTCTGCTGCCCCTAACCCAGCCCCTCCCCCTACATGTTATAAGTATGTGGCGGAAGGCCGAGCAACATTTAGCTTGCGCGTTCGTGAAAGGTTCAAGCGCCCTATCGCACTACCATATCGGTATGGCCCCGAGCCCGAAGACGGCCCAAGAGGGCCCTGCGGTGGCCCAAGAAGAGTGCCCCGAGTCGGCCCAGGAGGGCTGACATTGTTAAGTAACGCCCGTGCACATTGAAAAGCGCCCCAGGAGCGCCGTGAACGGGACTGTTCAATATGTAATTTACCAAAAAAGGATGCCCAATGTTTTGTTTCGTTCTCCAATCATTTTTGGGGGTAGCTGATTTCCTTTGGTTGAATGCGTCATTTCGCGCAGATTTGTTTTCCAATCTTTTCCCGACCTCACCTCAAACCCGTGGGGGATTCCACAATTTCTTCTCGAGAGCACCTCAAACTTGTGGGGGAATGCCAAATCTTTTCTCAACAACCCCTCTGATCTTTGGGGTAATCCCCCAGGCGATCGTGATAGAGTTCGCCCGAGGGATAGCCCTAGCAGGATCAGAGAACCACAAGCGTAGAGACGTAATTACTAGTACTGCGTGCCTCTGTTGGGGACGCACGTCCGACTTAAACATATGATACAACCTCTTGTCGTATATCTGTTCCCTATGGCCAGCAAGCGCCCGCCAGGAGTTCTTATACTATAAGATTTCCAACAGTGCACGTCGCCGTTGCGTGGCCGACGCGCATGTTGTGCAAGTAGGCTAGGATGATGCCGATGCATGGAACAAAATCAAGACATCGGATGACTGGGTCTGGCACACCGCTGGAGGCAGAATCACACGTCGCGCCCTGCGAGGGCATCTGGAGCTCCGAGCTGCAGGACTGAACAGGCAGGTCGAAGCCTGTGTGCGCTCCCAGCGTGGCGGCCTCTTCCTCCTCCTCCTCCTCCTCCTCCTCCCCCTCCTCCCCGTCCTCCCCCTCCTCCTCCTCTTCCTCCTCCTCCACCTCCTCCCCCTCCTCGTCCCATCGCTCTGTCCCCGGTGGCCTTGAACTCCTCTCCCTCGTCGGTGAGGATCGTGAGCCCGGAGACGTGGTCCGAGCCGGCGCCTCCGCCCCCGGCGCCTCTCCGCCGCAGCCAGCGGAGGATGAGCCAATCTCGCAGCAGGAGGCTGCTGATGACGATGGCGATGACGACGATGATCATGTTGATGACGGTGGCGACGATGATGACGATGATGGAGGGTGGGAGGTGGGGAGGGAGCTTGATAAAAGGATGCTGATGGGGAGGGGGTTCGGGAGGAAGAGGAGGAGGAGGAGGAGGAGGAGGAGGAGGAGGAGGAGGAGGAGGAGGAGGAGGAGAAGGAGGAGGAGGAGGAGGAGGAGGAGGAGCGAGAGAGGAGGGATTGTATGAAAACCGTTGAGGGGATGAAGGGATGGGCGAGGAGCGAGCGGGATGGGACGCGATATACACGGCAGGAGAGCATATTGAAGATAGACGTGGAGCTTCTGAAGGACCTGAACCTAGTTTCCCCGTGTAAACGCCCTCGACGGGAAAACACCTCTCAATCACCAGAAACCCGCCCGAATATCAAGATCTCCGAGAAACAAACAACTTTGTAAAGACCATGGGGCTGCTCGAGCCACCGGCCCCAGCAGCTCCCTTCCCCTCCCCCCGGGGCCGCATTTTCCATTCCGATCTGCTCCGACAATGCCGGGGCCCGTGGTCTCCGAAGGCTGAACATCGCGAAGCGGCCTGCCATCTCTCGCCTATTCTTCTGTAGCGCCAGGACCCGAGGGCCCACACTCTGCCCCCTCACCCCCGCCCTCTCTGCCCGCCACCCGCCGCCCGCACGAGAGCGTTGAGACGACAGCCCCTGTTCTTCTCTCCTCGCCGCGCTCCTCCCCCCCCCGCAGCGCTCCGCTGATGCGCAGCTCGAATGTCCACTGGTGGCACACCAAGCGGTCCCCGTTGTGCACCTGCGGCGCCCGCCCGGCCCAGATCTGGTTCGTGCATTTGCGCGGTGCTGGTTTTGGTCTCGGCGTCGGGTCTCACGGGCGGGCTCGCGCCGCGATGACGTGCGCGCTGGCTTCTGAGGCCGCGTGGACCTTGCGGCCCGGCGCAGAGAGCTCGATGTCAGCTGGTTCCGGGCCGCTGGCGGCGTTCAGGTTTGAGCGCCCGCGCTGGGGTCGCCCACGCGCCAGCACGGCGCGAACCTGCTGTAAAGAGCAAAAAAAGGCAAACACATTAAGCAAGAAAAGGAGCAAGAAATGGCATAAACATAAACATTCGGAGCTCCGCGCGGATCTCTTGGATCGGCACTGGCCCCCTCTCCCTTGCGCTCGGAGCGCGCCGGGGGCGGCGCCGGAGGCGCTGCCATGGGCACCCACCGCAGATCAAAGCAATCCGCGCAAAGCTCCGACAATTTATGTTTCTGCAGCCTGCTCTTCTTCAATTTCTGCGCTTCCTCTCTCTCTCTCTCTCTCGCTGGCGCGACAGCGCGGCGCGAACCTGCCGTCGCCACGACGATATGGTTTAGCCCAGCCACGGGGCCTCCCGCGCTTTCCGCGCCTCGTCCCCAGACGACATGAATTTTCATGATGTCGACCCCCCGAAATCTGAACCCATTTCCCAGAACAGGCTGTTCATGCTGAGGTATTTCTTGACGGCCCCGAGGCCCCGCGAAGGCCTCCGGAAACTGAGAATACAGCCGGAAGAAAATGAGCGATGAGGCGAACGTGAACAAGACGCAGGGCCAGCTTTCCTGGACGTTAGCTAAGAAACGCTGGCCCAACTCTTCGGTCGGAGGTTCTTCATCAAATGCTCGACTGTAACGAACAACGCTTTTGTCATGATTTGCTTTGTGACCCGAAGGTGCCTTCGTCTCTCGCCCGTGCGCTTCTGCCGCGTCAGATGGGCCAAGAGAGCACTAAGACTGTCCAAGGGTCAACCGATCCAGCTCAAGAGAGCTTCGAGCTCCAAGATGGCCCAAGAGGCCTCCCAAACGGCACAATAGTCCCTCGAGAAGGCCACATTGCCCAACCGACGTCCATGGCGGCCTGACGGCGCCCCAAGAGGACCACAAAGCTGCCCAGAGGTGCCCCCAGGACGGCATCCGAAGGCGTCAGACGGGTCAAGGGAGCCCCGAGACGGCCCCAAAGGCCCCACAGAAGCTCCACCAGGCCCCACAAAGAGGTCCTCCGGGAGGGCCCCTCCTCGGAGGCCCCGAAGGGTTGGGGGAACGAAGCGCTGCTGCGCTGGCGCGGTGTGGTAACTCTTCCCTGTCGCTCTCCCAGTCGTCTCGGTCGGGCGGGTCGGGCAGTTCGCTTGACACTTCCTCACCACTTATGATCCAGAAGCATGCAGTTCGACACATGTCCACGAATGGAAAGGTGGGGGTGGTGGTTTTAACATTGAGCTATCGCCTGGGCGCAACGCATATTCGCCGTAAGCAGTTGCAACACGCAGGGGTTCACCACATGCCGTTTTCGAACGTGAGCTCTGGCCTGGGCGCCGCACGTGTTCTGTGTAAACGTTTTGCAGCAATCCGAGAGATGGAACACATGTCGCTTCCAACATGGAACTCTCGCCTTCGCGCCGCGCACATTCGTAGTACAAGCTTACAACTGTTAGACGGATGGAGGGCGGCTCCTGTTCAAAATGGGGCTCTCGCGTTTGGAATGCGGTTCCTTTTCAACACGGTGCTCTCGCTTGATGCCTTAAGGCACGGCGCTTCAACACCTGTCGCAACGGCACGGATGCATCGTTGTTCCTTTTTGCTCAGAAGCTCTCGCCCGAGACGTCCTCGGCGTTCATGGCCAAGCGGGTCAACTCGTGCAACTGTTCGACTGATGGTGTGTGCTGGCTCGTGTGCTGCGCGTCGGTCCCTTTTCCATGCCGTGGGTCTCGCTGGACACCCCGCTCACCGGTATGATCATTTTTTTTTGCCAGGGCGATGCGCGAGAGCCGTACTTCCGCGCCCAACGCTGCGGGTGCCACGGCGCGTGCGTGGCGAGGCGTGTTGTCTGCCGGCTGTCACAATGCATCCCTTCGAGCACTGGCGGGTTTGGGAGCGAGGGGGGAGGGAGGGGGGGAGGAAAGGGGGAAGACGGGGAAGAAAGAACCAACGACACGGCTACACGTTACAAGTAGACAGGGTGCAAACCAGCTCCTCGCCAGAACGGGGCTTTCGCCTGAGTGGCGGGCCCATCGAATGCTGGTCTTTCAAAGGGGGAGGCGCCTTTGTAGTGAAAGGCATGCCTGTGGGGACGTATGGGACAGGGATTTGGGACTTGAGGGTGTATTACATCGCATCGCTGGCACATCACAGGTATCGTCTGGTCTTCCTCCTCCTGTTCCTGTTCCTGCTCCTGCCCCTGCTCCTCCTCCTCCTCCTCCTCATCGTTTAGCTGTTTAGCTGTCCTGGAGGGAGGTCCTCGGGTATTGGCTGGGCGTTTGAACGGTCGGCGGGGAAGCAAACGCCCCACGAACTGTATGCCGATTTGATCAGGCTAAGCCTTGCCGCCCAGGGACGGCCTGGGGGCAGGGTAGGCCTCGTTTCGCCGCATTCGCTCGTCGTCGAATTTCTGGGTGGCCTGGCCTGCAGACTCCTGTAGACTCCTCCACGCCCTGCTCCTTCTCCGCCTCCCTCTCCTCCCGTGGAGTAGCGTGACGGGGGACGGGGATGAGGAAATGGATGAGCCGAGGAGGAGCAGGAGCAGGGGGATGAGGAGGATGGATGAGGCGGACGGTGAGGATGATGAGGAAGTGGAAGAGGGGGAGAACAGCCATGATAATGCTACGGAAGAGAGTGAGTAAGAAGAGCAGGAGCAGGGCGAGGATGAGATATCCTTCCCTGCCCCTCTTGGCCTCCAGCAACTGGTACTTCGGGCAAATCAGGTACGTTGGCGACATGCGGTTGCCTCCCCGTCGGTATCCCCGAGTAAGCGCATAGCATCATCACCATCGCCATCACCATTACCATCATACTCTGAGCTATAACATCAAGGGTCAAACCATACTCATGACCATCATCACCACCATCAACACCAACAACGACAACATCGTCATCGTCATCGTCATCGCCATCGTTATCATCATCATCATCATCATCATCAGCATCAGCATCAGCATCATCGTCATCATCATCATCATCATCATCATCATCATCATCATCATCATCATCATCATTCTCATCATTCTCATCATCACCATCATCACCATCATCATCATCATCACCATCGTCATCATCAACATCATGATCGTCGTCGTCGTTGCGTCGCCGTCCTCGTCGTCGTCGTCATTACCGTCACCATCATCACAACCACCATCATCACCACCTCCGCCAGAAACTCGCCGCGTTTTTCCCCATCTTCGCCCGTCCGCTCTCTTCCCCCCTCCTCCTCCCCGCTCCCTGCACCCCCAGCCCGGCCGCCTCCCCCCCACCGCCAGCCCCGACGGCCCCGCTGCTTCCTGCTCGTCTGGAAACGACGTGGGAGTCACCAGACAACGGGCCCTTGTCTCTTCTTTCTCCTTCACCTATGCAACACCGCACATGAACGATGTGGGTGTTACGGCCTCGCACCGCCCCAAAGCTCTCCACAGGAGGCCCCCCCAGGCCCACAGGGTCAGGAATGGCCTTGACATCGTTGATGCGTCGACGGCGGTGGGATGGAGATGGGGGGCCTCAGGGGAGAGACCTGCGCTACTTTTTTCCCGCACGCTGCATATCCAGTCGGAAGAAGTGGGTAGAAACATTGAGTACAGTCAGGGGACCAATTTGCTAGTGAGAATTTTGACGAGGCGTGTCCGTCGAATGACTAAAATCAGGTTAGGCCGTGGTGTAGGCGTGGCTCGCTCTTGCTGCCCACTTATGCGACAGCCGGTAAATCCGCCCGACCGACAGACTCGGCGACCGACCGACCGAACGACTGGACAACGACCGACGGCGACGACAACCGAATGACAACGACGGCGACGACGACTGACCGACCGACCGAACGAACGATCGAGTGACTCAGCGGCCGAGCGACGGACGACGACGTCGATCACGAACGACGACGACGACGACGACCGACCGACCGACCGACCGACCGACGACGACGACGACCGACCGACTGGCCGACCGAGCGATCGACGACGACGACGACGACTGACGGCGACGACCGACAGACAACGACAACGGCAACGACCACCGACCGACCGACCGATCGACCGACCGACCGACCAACGATGCCCGAACGACGAGGACGACGACCGACGGCGACGACAGACCGACCGACCAACAGCGACGAAAGACGACGACGAAGACAACGACGGACGGACCGACCGACCGATCGAAGACAACGACCAACGACAACGACGAACGCCATCGCAAAATTCTAGAAAGCCAAACAAACCTAAGAAGGCCGACCGCGACCCGTCGTCGTTATTAGTCAGCCGTCGCCGTGGCTTGTCGTTGATTCATTCAAGTTACACTGCAAACAAACGTCACCTGTGTGTAGGAATCGACTACACGCAAGAGTGACCCTGGGTAAGAGTGACCTTTGGTGCGCGGTTCATTGGGGGCCGCTGGGCGACCAAACACGAGCGCGCAAGACGCTAACGCAGCATCGCGTTCGGCGATCGGGGGGCCCCCTTGGGCACACACCAAAAGTCACTCCGGCGAAAGGTCACTCTTACGTGTAGTCGAAGGAAGGCGTTGGAAGTGGATTGCGCTCCCGCCCGCCCCCTGAAGAGGAGGGAAGAGGACACGCCGCCCGGTCCTTGAAGTGGGAAGGCGCCTCTAAAGCAGATTGGGATCCCTGGGGCCCAAAACATACCAACTTCCAACGACCGGCGTGTGCGGTGCCTCGACGGGCATATGGAGTGCCGACGCCTCGAGCCAAGGCGGCGGCAGGAACCCAGCACGCAGTACCAGAAGAAGAAACAACGCCATACACATCAACTGTTGGCGCGCCGCGCGGTTTTCTTGGATCTGCGCTGGGCCCCCCTCAAGAAACCCGCGCGGAGCGCCAAAAGTTTATGTGTATGCCGTTCTTTCTTCTTCGAAGTACTCCTCTCGGACTCTCGGAGATAGCCGAAGACGTCCAGAGCCTCGATCTTCGGCACCTCGAGCCCCGACCCCCCGCAGCCCTCGTGAGGCTGCGAGCGCGGCAAGGGGGCAACGCCCCTGGCCAACCCAGCGTCTGGCCCGCCGTGCTGCCGCGAGCGCCCAGCACTGGGGCGAGCGCTGCGGACGCGAGCGCCCGGAGATCGAGCTCGAGGGGGATGGGGGGATGGGCTTCTGGAGCTCGCTTCTGCCGGGGCCCACGGAAGGCTCTGGAGATCGCCCGGGGCCGTCGGGGGCAGCCAAGAGGGGGACGTCCAGGAGGGAGGGGCGCACGTCATGGCTGCAGGCAGGCGCGCGGCCCAGGGGGGGGGGCCAGGGACGCACTGCAATGAGGAGAGGCGCCATGAGATCTCGGGAGATCTCATGGCCACCGCCATGATATCCCCCCCCCCTATCTGGCCATCGCTCGGACGTCCATTCCCTGTGTTTTTTTCCGGTTTCGTGCGTGGCTTTTTCGCCAAATGATCAAGGATGCTCCTCGATGATCCGCGCCGAAAGAAACATGCACACGTCCGAGCGATGCCAAGTTATAATCCTCACCCCCCTCTTGGCCACCCCCGAGGGCGGCACAGGCCTCCAGCCTCACGGGCAAGACCGGGAGCACGCTTCTTTCGCCTCTCTGGGCAGCCCGGGGGGCCGTGTCGGGCCTGGGGCAGTCGACGACGGCCTGGGGTGAGCAACGGGCCCCGGGGAAGGGGTCGAGAGACACGGGGGCGCACGTCTAGAGCAGATCGTCGCGGCGGTAGGTCCGGGTAGGAAGAGGCGGAGGAAGGGAAGGAGTGCGAAGGAGGGAGGGGAAGGGGCAAGTCTGGACGACGCGAGGGCCGCTGGAGAACGTCGCTCGGGGCAGAAAACTGTTGAGAGCACTCCGAAGACCTCCGAGAAGCATTTGAGATGCCTCCGCCAAGCCTCCGAACCCTTTCCCTAAAAGGTGTTTGGAGGTTCCCGAATGCCTCCCTGGAGGCCTCCTGGTCTTGGCACAGAAAGGGCATCAAACGTGCAACACCTCGACCTTCGAACCTGGATGCTGCTGATCCTCCTCCTCCTCCTCATCCTCCCTCCTCCTCCTCCTCCTCATCCTCCTCCTCCTCCTCATCCTGCTCCACCTCCTCCCTCCTTCTCCTCCTCCTCCTCCTCCTCCTCCTCCTCCTGCTCCTCCTCCTCCACCTCCAGTCCTTCTCCTTCTGAATCACTCCTCGCTGTCGTACCCCGAGGCCATTCGAAAGGACGGGCCGGGCATTCGCCTGAGACTTCCTCACTATGTATGACCCTGAGGCTTAAACGTTGGCAGTTGTTTCACAGATGGAGGGCGGGTGGTTTTCAACATGTGGCTCTGGCCTTAGCGCCGCGCGCATTCGCTTTAAACATTCTCAAGAGTTTCACGGATTTAGTGCGCTTCCTTTTCAAAATATGGCTCTCGCCTTAAAGCCGCGCGCACTCGTTTGTAAAATGTGCAGGAGTTTCGCGGATTGAGTGCGGTTCGAAATATGGCTATCGTTTGAGCGCCGCGCACACTCGTCTTACATATTAGCAGGAGCTTCGCGGATTGAAGGCGGTTCCTTTTCATCATGCGGCTCTCGCCTGAGCGCCGCGCACACTCGTCTTAAACATTTGCCAGACTTTCACGGATGTCCATGGTCAACGTGCCAGAAATTCAATGTTGGAAGGGCGCACGGTTGTGAGGGCGCAACAGTTAAGTTGACTCGCGGTGTCGAAGTCCCAGGAATGGTGTTCTCGCACGATTCGGGATCGTCAAGACGCAACGGTCATGTTGATTCGTGGCGCTGGAGTCCCGAGAATTGTGCTTTGGCATGATTCAGGGTCTTCAAGCGGTTGTCTCCCAACGGGGCAATTCCCTCAGTGGAAATCAACCCTTGTAGGGGCCTGTGAAGAGGGAGCTTGGAAAGGGGGGTTACTCCAACATCCTTGAGGAATCTTGGGTTTACACTGGTCCTCCTCCTCCTTCTCCTCCTTCTCCGGCTGGCGCGCACTCCAGGTCGCGAAGCCCGAGCGTGACGCCGAGGGACGGCGCGCGAACAACCACTCCTCTGATCCCTGCCCCTTGCCCGACTCGTCTGGCTGAGGCTCAAGATCTGGGAGGCGGGGGGCCTGCTCCTGTAAGAGCCTCCGAGAGGCTCCGAGGAGCCTCCGGGGAGCCCCTCAGGGACCTCCAGAAACCGATAGAGGCAAAAAGCGTGCAGCAACCTCAACCCTCGAACCTGGATCCACCTCATTTCCCTCCTCTTCCTCCGACTCCTCGATCATCTTCTTCTTCTTCTTCCTCCTCCTGCACCCTGCGGCGTTAGGAGCAGCTTGGCGCAGCTGCTGCTCACCTGGTCGGCAGAGGAGTGCTCAATCGGTGTGAGAGCATATCCTCCTCTTTCTCCTCCTCCTGGATCCTCCTGGGCCTCACCCCCACTTCGACGACTTGAGGCTTTCGTTTTTCGGGTCAAAACTGAGGCCTCCTGCGGCCTTTCGGGGCGATCCGGGCACCCCTGGAAAGCCCTCGACGACGCGCAGCCGCTGGAAAGCACGCCGAGGCGACAGAACCTCCACGAGCCACGAGAACGTCCGAATGTCCCCCCCCTCGCCCGCCTCCTGAAACTCCTCTCCTGTTCCGAAGGCTGTCGCCTTCACCTGGTAAGGAGAGGGAGGAGAGTGTCCACCGTGACACGAGCGAATTCATTCAAACACCGTTCTGTACATGCCAGCCTTCATGCACTTGCGGAGGCATGGGGGATTTCCTCGCCAGAGTCTCTGTCTCCTGTTCCGCAGCCTATTTCTGAGTTCATCTTGAGTCCGCCAAGGACGACAGCGTTACTCAACTGCACCTAGCGTAAGAGAAGTCAGACCGTAATGGCATTGGATAAGGAACCAGCGGATAAGGCATCGAGGCTCTGGAAGCTGGGGGGACACCAGTGGAGGTCTGGCCATGGATATCACCGCCGCCCTCCCCAGGGTCTGAAGCGGTCTGAAGTCTCCTAGGCGCATTCCTTCACGAACGCCCCCACCGCAGTTCGGGGAGGACGAAAGGGTAGGATAGCAAAGGGCAGGGTTGAGAACTAGCTCACGTGGCTGTTTTTCCTGGCGCCTCCTGGCACCAGGAGGCGCCCATGTATCGAGGAGTGGGCCCCGCGGCGGGGCGGAAACCAGCTGCGTGCAACAGATTTCGTACCTGCCCCCCCTTTCTCCATCCTACCCTGTCGTCCAGCCCGAGTATTCGAAGAGTGCTGCTGGCCAAACCTCCCACTGGGATGACCGTGGGGGTTTCTGAGCGGATAGGGGGGGTTGCAAGTGAATGCTGAAGTTGGTTATGTCTGGCCCAACCTGGCTTATAAATGGGTTACAAGTGCCCCGAATGGCGTAAGGGGGTTAGATAACTCCGCTAAGTGGGCGGAGCCCACTTAGCCAGGACCGCTAATCCCCCTAAGCCACTTGGGGCAGATGTAGCCCCCTTATACGCCAGGGTGGGCCAAATATGGCCACCTTGGCATCCGCTTTTACCCCCCCCTATCCACTTAGAACCCCCCACGGTCGTCCCAGCAGGGGAGGCCCCGAGGAGTCCTCCGAAGGGCCTCCGAAGGGGGGCCTCCGAAGGGGCCCCGCCCGACCTCGGCTGGGCGCCCAGCGGGCTGCCGCCCGCGCCCGCCCACGGAGCCCGCGCCCCTCCTGCTGGGATGATGCAGGTGCGCCTGTCCGCGGTGGCGGGGGAGGGGGGTGGGCGGGGGAGGGGGGGGCGGGAGCGGGAGACCTGCCTGAGATTAGATGTATGTGTATATACGTATAGAGAAAGAGGGAGAGAGAAAGAGAGAGAGAGAGAGAGTGAGAGAGAAAGGAAGAGAGAGAGAGAGAGAGAAAGAGAAATAGAGAGAGAGAGAGAGAGACAAACAGAGAGAGAGAGAGAGCGAGAGAGAGAGAGAGAAAGAGAGAGAGAGAGAGAAAGAGAGAGAGAGAAGGGACAGAAGGATAATAATAATGGGAGGCGATGGCGCCCGATCGCAGACGCATGGGACCCATTTCAAAGACTTAGCACCGATCGCGACCAATGTTGACAAGCCCCTTCCGGATGCGACACAACGGGCGTCGTTGGAGTCCATGGCATGCCGGTGGGTGGGCGGGCTCTCATGAAAACAAATTGCGATCTCGAAGATCAGTAACGGTAAGGTGCTACACTAAACTATTTCAAAGCGTTTCGATTTGCTCGAACTCAGCGATGTCATAGTCACGCTGTTGCTTACTATCTGGAACGTAATAAAGTCTCATTTCCGATTGGGCAGCTCGAAGCAAGTAGTTGAATCGTGTCTATTTTTCGAGCTGTGACTATTTCTGGAAATTGTGGGCACTTCCAACAAACATATCAGACACGTGTCTGATTCTGTGGCTTGTGACAACTGGGTCCGGAAGTGTGCCTCATTCGGATTTTCGCTACTGAACTTACTAGAATACTAATAACACTACGCGTGGAATATATTAATATCACATGTTATACTTCATATTCGTCGTTGGAGCTGTGGGTAAGTGTTGAAAGGCTGGCTGGGTCCATATGGTTATCTAGACTGTGGCCGTTGCATTGCGTTTACATGATACCATGATGTCTGGCTATTTCTCAAGATTTTACAGGAGCTGCGGCTGATTATTCCGAGTGTCGTGAATCCTGGCAATTCATATGCCTGGCAGATTAATTGGATGGTCGGCTAATCTTAGGATCCTGGCAAACCATGTATAAATATTTGCATTGTCGCTACTGGTTCAATTCGTGCATTGTGTCTGGCAACTTATCAGACAATGAACCTAGCAAAGTCTTGGAAATGATGCTAATTACGCACCGTCGTGTGAAACTGTTGCTACTTATGAGAACGGTTGTTGCTATTGTATTGCGTTCTGGCGGGTTCTGGCAATGTGTGGGAACTGTTGCTATCTGTTGTTGTTTGGAAGTGCGAATGCTGATAGCTGATTATTCGAACATGTTTGCGAAGTGTGGTTAATTCTAGCTGCCTGCTGGAGCCGTAATAGATGGCGAAACACATTGCGAATTCTAGCCATTGCCGCTGGACGCAACTTGTTTGATCTCTGGTCAATTCTGCGTAGGTGTGGGAGCTGTTGCTCATTATTCGAATTATGATGCCTGACGAGTTCTTGGGCGCGCAACGTAATTACTTATCAGACTCGGGTCGCATTATCTACTACAGCTTGGATTGGAATCTGTCTGGGTACCAGCACCAACAAACATTTTGCATTTTCATCGTTCACGGAGCTACAGCTAATCATTCGAGATCCAACGAATTCTACCTACATGTTGCAACTGTTGTTACTACTGGGGAACGTGGTCATTTCCAGCTCCATATTTGGATTGTGCTGAACCATGGAATATGAAACTCATTATACCAATTGTGTAACATCACATCAACATATTTGATGCTGAAATGCCCACTGAAGTTGCTGCAACTTCTACCGCCTTGTATGTAATGGAACTCGTAGCGTTGTCGCTGCTTCTGGCTGCTTACGATGCGCTGTTGCTACTTCTGGAGATTGCGGCCAAGTCTAAAAGCGTTGCCGCTTATTTAGTGCAACTTGCGATCGAGCGGTCTCATGCAACTAGTTTGCGCGAACCGTGCCAGCTGCTATCCTGTCTCGGGGGGGCAAGTCATGCGATTCCACGGCTCGTTCCCTTCTCTTGCATCGAGAGCCCAAGCAGCTCAAGCGAGGCAGCTGAGGCTGGGACAAGGTGGGAGACTGAAGGCAAGAGCAAGCTGGACTAAGGTGGGCATGTCCACCTAGAGGCGGATTTTGGACGACAGATGAAAAATATTCAAACAATCATCAACCATAGCCAAAACATGCGAAAAAATCATTTGGCCATTTTTGAAGAATCCTCCTGTAGAGTGACAGGCCCGACTTAGACCAAGGCAGCTCCGAATCACAGGCAGGCCTAACACACACACACACACGTGAAGGTGACGCGGGCCAGTTAGACGCAGAGTGCGGCGAGCTGGGCCGACCCATGTGCCTACACGCCCGAGCAAATCATGCCCAAGCAAGTCCTTTCCATCCTCCTTCTCCTCCTTCTCCTCCTCCTCCTCCTCCTTATCTCCGCCTCCTCCTCCTCCTCCTCCTTCTCCTCCTCCTCCCCCTCCTGGTCGTCGTCGATGCCTTTCAGGGTCGGCGGCACCGGCCGTCAGGCCTTCGCAATCATGCCAAAGCAAGTGCCGAGACGGACCCGCACTCTAGCCGCGCAGCGGATGCGAAGCTCACGCTGCCGGGGCGCCGAAAGGACCGTGGACCAAGGCCCGTGCGGCGGAGGCGAGCTGTCGCGCAGTGCCCAGCGCGCAGGACGAGCAAACTTCGTCGAATGCAGGCGCTGCTTGGGGCACACCTCGAGCGAGGCAATCCGCACAAGACGCCTTCGGAGAAGCACCAGACGGCGACCAATGTGACTGGCCCCGTGACCGCGATCTATGTACCTTCGTCGACAGCATCTTGCGTGAGATGCCAATGGAATCTTGCCCTCACGACGGAGAATGAAGCAAAAACGCCCCTGGCCTCGACTGCAGTTGACCCGCTTTCCAAGTCCGAGGTCCCCCGAGCCACGGGACGTGGGTGCCGCCACGCCCCGAAAAGTGCCCCAAGGCCGAGCAGCGCACCAACGCTGCACTACAATCTCTCAAGACGGCCCACGGGTGCACCCCTTGAGAACTGCGCGCCCCGTGTGCCGGCTGCTGCCCCTCGCCCTCGTGCTAACCTCCTCCTCCTCCTCCTCCTCCTCCTCCTCCTCCTCCTCCTCCTCCTCCTCCTCCCCTCCCCTGGCTTACGCTCCCTCTCCGCCTCGCCTCTTCACCGCTGCTCGTCCTCCTGCCTCCCCTGCTGCTGCTGCTGCTGCTCCTCGAACTCAGTCTGTCCGTCTTCGCCGGCCGGGCTGTCTGTGAGGGGCAGCGACGAGGGGAGACCAGCTCAGGGGGGGAAGTCTCGACCTGGAATCGGCGACACGTCGCCGATAGATCGGGGATCGGCCCCCGAAAGCAACTCCGCACGCTCCCTGGGAGGTGTGGGTCATCGGGGCACCCATCGGCGACCGAAGAGCGCTTGGCAGTCGATACATCCCCCCCCCCACCGCTGAGAGCCTGTGCCCCCCTGGTGACCGTTGCCCCTGCTTCCCGCCCCCCATGGGCTGCCCGGCCACCCCCTGGCGCCACGGTTGCGCCCTGGAGGGCGTGAAGATGCAGTGGAACGGGGCCACGGTCACGCCCGGCACATCTGGAGAGAGGCGACTGTGGCGCAGCGACATCATCGTCAGCATCATCGTCATCATCATCATCATCATCATCATCATCATCATCATCATCATCATCATCATCATCATCATCATCATCAGCATCATCATCAGCATCAGCATCAGCATCAGCATCAGCATCAGCATCATCATCATCATCATCATCGTCTATCATCATCACCATATTCATCTTCGTCATCATCATCATCATCAACTTCACTAGCCTCATCATCATTATCATCATCACCATCAACAACATCAGCATCAGCAGCAACAGCATCGTTATCACCATCAACAGCATATGCAGCATCATCATCACCATCATCATTATCATCATCGTCATTCTCATCATCTCCACCAGCATCATCACCATCACCATCAGCATCAGGCTCAGCCTTAACAGCATCACATCATCATCATCATCACCAATAACAGCAACATCGTCATCACCATCAACATCACAATCGTAATCATCACGATCACCATCATCGTCATTATCAACATCCGCATCATCACCATCACCACCATCATCAGCATCACCATCATCAGCATCACCCAGTCTCAGCATCATCATCATCATCACTACCATCACCACCATCACCAACAACAGCAACAACATCCTCATTGCCATCATCAGCATCACCGTCCTTATCATCAACGTCAATGCCATCACCATCATCACCATCACCATCAACATCACCAGCATCATCATCATCATCATCATCATCATCATCACCAGCACACCACCATCACCATCAACACCATCATTACCATACACATCATCATCATGACCATCATCACCATCATAATCATCGTCCTAATCGTCCTCCTCTTTCTCCTCCTCCTCCTCTTCCTCCTCCTCCTCATCATCATCATCATTCACCTCTTCCTTTTTTTTCCTCCTCCCTCCTCCTCCCTCCTCCTCCTCCTCCTCCCTCTGCTCCCATCCTCTCCTCATCATCCTTCTCATCGTCCTCCTCATCATCCTTGCTCCTTCATGTTTCATCCTGTCCCTCGTCCTTCCTCTTCCTCCTTCCTCCTACACCTGCTCTTCCTCCACCTGCCAGATCGGAGGATTCTGGTGTTCAATGCTCCGTGGAATCTGTCACAAGAGCTCAGGGCGGCCTCAATATTTCGCGAAGGCGCTCGCGAGACCCTCCCGACAGCTCCGAGATTGCCAGCTGCTCCGCAAGGTGCGACCCATGACCCATGACAGCGCCCAACAACACTCCAACAATGCCCGACAAGTCTCCGAGAACCTCCCCGCAGGCCCCAAAACAAACTTCAGGGAAACATCACATACGGGCGAACGCCATGATGTACAAACGCAAGTGGCCTCGCGACCTCAGATGGCACAGTATGGCCGTCAGACGACGCGCCATGATGTCGCAACACTGTGCCCGAAGCGGTCAGAGGGACAAGCAACATTGAACACCATCAAATTATTGCCAATTGGCAAACAGTCTTTTGGTCTCCAATGGCGAAGCTACCGCACAACATCCAACTAGTACAAGACACGTTTCGAACGGTCTCGCATCTATTTGTTTGTTGCCCGCTACTGCTGGCCTCCGTCGCAACGCCGCCCGGTTTTGTAGTGCAGATGATCAGGACAGGATCCACCTTCACCTCCCGCACCTCGTTGAGCAACCCGAAATACTGGTGCCACTGGCCACCTGTGCTACATTGCGGATGGTCGCAGTCGCAGCGGAGGCGGTCAAGGCCCTTCTCCCACGCGCCATCTCAATGCACTGGATGGTGACGCTGTATCGACTAGGTGTTGGCGTCGTCTCTACGCAGCAGGGAGGTGATTGCAACGACGTGCGTGTCTGACCTCGGAGTCAACCTCGCGTGCTGGCCCACCCGGAACAGCGACAAGGCCAGCGGCCACTGCCTGCCCGTCTCGCACGCGCGGATCCTGGCGTCGTAAATAATAACGTCGGGCTTTAATTTCGTCTCCAACATATCGCCGAGCAGCGGCAGAGCCTCATGCCAATGCTTGTTTTTTTTTGTCACGCGTTGATTCCACTTTTGTAGCTGATGACGTCGGGCTCCAGATTCGCCTCATACACCTAGCTGAGCAACGACCGGGCGCACTTCCACCTCCTGCTGCCTTGGCGGTGCGCGACAATCCCAATGCTGCAGCTCTTGGCTTTGCGATCTAAGTTTGCCTCGCACCGCTGAGAAGCAATCGGGCCTGCCTCCGCTGCCTGTCATCGTTGCGCGCGGTCATCTGTATATTATTCTAGCCAATCGCGTCAAGTTCCAATTTCACTGCCCACATATCCCTGCACAGCGACGCAGCCCATTCAAATTGCTTGGCTTTCTGGCATGCGCTGACCGCGGCGTTGTAGCTGATGGTGCTCGGCTCCATCTTCACATCCCGCATCTCACCGAGTAGCGTCAGAACCCCTGTTCGGCACGCGCCGGTCCTAGCATTGTAGCTGGCTAGCATGTACCCGTGCATGCTGCCACTGGCGGCGGGGGTTGCTGAAACATGGGTGGGTCTGCAGGCGACAGCCACATGCCAGATGGAGGGCGATTCTGTACTTGCACAGGTCGTGGGAACCGTTGATCCCGAAGAACTCTTGGCGGGGGGGCTCGAGGGGAAGGGAAAAGAGATATCCGGTCGGTGTGCGGCCTGGGCTACTCAGAACGGATCCGATGCTCGTAGTTCGTTTCTGAAGTGTCCAGTCGGTTCGGCCTCTGCGGTCCCCTCGGGTTCGCGGCTGGACGGAACTCGGAAGCCTGGTGCTGCCGCCGCCGTCGTCGTCGCCGCCGTCGTCGCCGCCGCCGTCTTCGCCTTCGTCGCCGTCGTCGTCGTCGTCGTCGTCGTCGTCGTTGTCGTCGTCGTCGCCTTTGCCGCCGCGGCTGACGCCTTCGTCGTTGCCGCTACCGCCGCCGTCGTCGTCGCTTCGTCGTCGTTGTCGTCGTCGTCGTCGTCGTCGTCGTCATCGTCGTCGTTGTCCGATGGACGCTCTCCAAGGCTCGCACCTCGAGCCTCGGGAATCGAGGCCCGAGGCAATGTGTGGTTCTCGCGGGGGCCCCCTTCGGCGCCACGGCCGGACGCAGCTCGATCGACAGGTGCGCGTGGACCCCAAGAGGGGTCCGGAGACCCAATCGAATCTCCAATCTCGAGGGTGGGGGCTCGAGGCCTTCTGTGGCCCCTGCGGATGGGCCTCCTTGTCGCAACGGCACGGGTCGGGTCCACAAACCTGGTGCGCTTGGACCCCGGGAGCGTCCCACGGGTTCACGGGGGGGGGAGCCGCCAGAGCGCATAGGTCGGGGGCAAGGCGGAGGTCCAGCCGAGGGGGGGACAAAGAGACGCCGACGACGACGACCAGGACGCCGCCGGGCGCGGGCCCACCATTCTGTCACGAGAGGCCTTTCTGTGGCAGAATGCACCCGGCCCTATCTTGGAGGGGTCGAAGGCCTGAAGAGTGCCGCAAGAGCGCCCCCAAAGGGCCCCAAACCGCACGTACTTGATATGCTTCTTGGGCTTGCACCCAAGTGCATGCGTCATGGGGCCTTGTCGGGGCCCTCCTGGGGCCCTCGGCCACCACGGGCGCCTGAGGAGCCGTCCTGGCGCAGTCTTGAGCCGTCTTGGGGTCCTCCTGGCAGCCTCCTGAAGCCTCTTGCGACGATCTTGAGGGCCTGTGTGGCCGTTTTGGACGCTTCGAAGACGAAAAACTTGGGAACTCCTGACATGTACGCTTTCCCTCGGGATTGGGACGATTTTTCCTTGTTCGGGCTCTCGTGGGGCTGTCTCTCTGGAGCCCACTTGGAGCATTTTGGGGGCCTCTTGGGCCGTCGGGCGGCTGTCTTGGGCGTCTTTGAGCGCTCGGGGCCCGTCTCGGAGGCCTTCTTGACCGTCTTCGGCCGTCTTCGGGCCCTATTGGGGGCCTCTGGGGGCGGCTCGAAGCGCTCTTACACCATCTTGGAAGCACGCCGGGGCCCTGGGGCCGCGCCGGTGGCCGCCAGAGGGGGCCAGTCCGCTGCCACTGCTCGAGGCTTTGGCGAGCGGTGAACGCTGCATTATAGGAGAGATGACGTTGGGTTCCAATTTTCCTGCAACATTCCGCTGAGCAGCGCCAAAGCCTGTCCTCACTGATCCAAGGTCGCATCCCACAGATCGCTTAGCAGTGACAGGGCCCGTTGCCACTGCTTGCCTTCTCCATATGAGATGGCAGTCGCAATGCAGCAATCTGGTCGGGATCCTCGCCTGCACTTCTTTGTGGCCACTTCGAAGTGAGAGCCGCCTGGTCGAGATCCCCGTCAGGCGGCACCCAACATCCAGAGGCGACCTTGTGCCCAGACGGTAGGAAGCACCGCGTGAGCAGGACGGTCGAGCCAGACTGGCTTGATCAAAAATGGCCACGGACGAGAGGCCCCGAAGAGGGCCCAGCATGGTCCACCAGTGCGTCTGCTGTGGCCAAAGGAGGCTCCGAAACACTTGGTGGCCCCCTCTCTGTCTTTGCATCCCCTCCTCAAGGTGTGCATGTAACTGTTTGTGTCTTCCCTGAGCCGCTTGTCTGTACGGTTTTATACACCTTGAGGCCTCAAGAATGGACTGCTGGATCCAAACTCGGAAAAACAAGAGGGACGTTTCCTCCTAGGGCCTCCCGTGACCTCCCATGGCCTCCCGTGGCCTCCTGTGGCATCCCATTGCCTCCCGTGGCCTCCCGTGGCATCCCATTTCCTCCAGTGGCCTCGGGTTGCCTTCCCTATCCCATTGCCGTCCCTATCAGTATCCCTATCCCTATCCCTATCCATCTTATCCGTATCATACATCCCTATCCATGTCCCGATCCCCGTCCCCATCCGCATCCCGATTCCCATCCCTGTGTTCCAAACTCCTGGCCCTATATCCGTATCCCTATTCCTAAGCGTAGCCCTTCCCTTCTCCCTATCCCCCCGATCCCCCCCTATCGTGGCCCCCTGTCGTGCCCATCCCCCCCATCGCGGCCCCCATCGCGGCCCCCTGCCACACAGGTGCCATTTTCTTCTGTAGCGGACGTGCCATGTGGAAATCGGATTCCACGTTGCCCGCGGCTTGGCGGGGAGCATGCCGAGCAACGACTGCTTGTCCGCAGGGGGACTCGCTGCGCTACGTATCAATGAAAAGCATGGCCGCTCAGTGCACAAGCTCGCATGTACAAGCCAATACGTAGCGGACTCTAGGCACGCCAGGGTGGAATGACACGTTGCGATACTAGCAAATCGCTGTGGTACCCCGCGCGGTCCAACCGTGCACGAAGCACAAGCCGATTGCTGAGGCCTCTGGCGCAAGCAGGGCGATACCCTAAACGCGCCAGCTATGTACATCTAGCTAGTATTTAAAATGCTAACGTGGCCTCGCCTACATGTGCTGTGGCTGTCGGGCAGGAGGAGTGCTTGCTAAGTTGCCAGAATGATTCTACACGTGAAGGTGCAGCTGAGCGACTTCTTGGTTTCGCGCCGTCCCTCGGCCCCGCGTCAATGGAATTTGCTTTAGCTTTTGCGTCAACTGTCGATACCACTATCCTCCATTAGGAATAATAGTAATAATACTCGTAATAGTAGGGGTCGTCAGTGGGTGCACTCATGGCCTCTTTCGTGTTCTGCCTTGTTATGAAATTTTGCCGCTCTCCCACGTCCACGAAGAGAGTCTTGACCTTGCCGAACAAAGGGTCCCCGAACAATTTGTTGGATGCGCGGAGAGATTGGCCGCTGGCTTCACGACGCTTCACAATGTCTGTGACGTCACGTCCATTGACACGTGCGTCATCTCCGTAGAATGCAGCGACTACAACGTAGCCACTTGGTACATTGATAGTCTCGTTTGTGTTCTCCCTCGCACTGAAAGTTACAACCTCCTCGACGTCGACCAAGAGAGTCTTGACCTTGCCTTTCGCGGGATCCCCGAACAACTCGTTTGATGCATGAAGAACTCTGCCGCTTGCATGGCGACGCTTCACGATGTCAGTGACATCAAATCCTTCGCCGCGATCGCCATGCCCGTAAAATGCAGCGACCACGGAGTAGCCCCTTGGTACAGTGATAGTCTCGTTTGTGTTCTCCCTCGCACTGAAAGTTTTGGGCACCTGGACGTCCACCAAAAGCACCTTCACCTTGTTTTTCACGGGATCCCCGAACAGCTCGTTGGATGCACGAAGCTCTTGCCCGCTGGCGTGGCGACGCTTCACGATGTCGGTGACATCGCGCCCTCTGCCGCGAGCGCCATCCCCGTAGAACGCAGCGACCACGGAGCATCCCCTCGGCACGCTGATGGTCTCACGCGTGCTCTCCCTCGCCCTGAGAGTTATGGGCTTCCTCGCCGAGCGCGCCGCTGCCACATCCGGCTCCTCCACGGCGGCCCACTCCGCCTCGTCGGTGGACTTCGCCGCGCCTCGCCGCCCCGCGGCGCACTGCTCCGCCGCGGCGCCCTCCTCCGCGGCGGCCCGCCCCTCCTCAGCGACGGCCTGGGCCGCCGCCCGCCGCCGCGCAGCGCACTGCTCCGCCGCAGCGGCCGCGCCGCGGGCCGGGGCGCACTGCTGAGCCGCGCGGGCGCCGCACGCGGCCGCTGCGGCCAGCAGGCCCGCGCAGAGGAGCGGCGCCCAGGCCGCGGCCAGCTGACGCCGGCGGAGCGCCGCCTCCTGTCGGGCACTGGCGGGGTGGGGTTTGGAGGGACTTGGTTTCATGATGAACGAGGGGGGCGCCCCCGACGCCCCAGTCCACCAAGCAGAACTGCCCTTGCCGGAAGAGACACCAGCTGCGGCAGACTTGGTCTAGGGAGTCTTTGCAACATTTTGGGCTTCGGGGCCCAGTCACTAGTTAACCGGCTCCCTAACCCGGGGTCCTGGCTACCTGGGCACCATGGCGCCGCGAGAAAACTCCGGCGCCGTGGGGCAGAATTCGCGACAGGAGCCCTGGACCCCGTCTCTGTGCCGAACTTGCCGAGCAGCGCCGATCCGCGGAAGTTCCTGAGGCACAAGACTGACTACCTACCAGACCACCCCAACCCAACCCGAAGACCCGAATTTCGGGTTGGGGGGGGTAAGGGTTCCACATGTGTTTTTTCGATGTTTCCCGAACCCCCCCCCACTGGAAATCGAGGGTAAATCTGAGCCTTCGGGTTGGGTTGGGGTGGTTTGGTGGGTGGTGAAAGACGGGGTGAAGGGCCGCTGTGATTGCTTCACGACACCCAGGTGTCAGGCTTCGGGGCCACATTCTGGAACACCGAGGGCCGATCGGGGCATCCGTCCCGCCGCTTTTGAATCCACCGTCGAGATCCAGCTGTTGGAAGGGATCCCGACCTCGGAAAACCGCCAAACGAAGTACCGAAAGCCCAGAAAGCCTGCAGGGACCCGATTTCTTCGAGTCGCGGGCCGCCGAAGCTCTCAACCCCCTCAGCGGAGCAGGTTTTGCATCCCTGGGAGCTTCTGGAGTGCCCTGGAGACCGAACCGAGCCAGGGGCCCAAGACGGTGGACCCCCCACCGTCTCGATTACTCATGGCATCCGAAGACAACAGAAACTCTTGTGCTCTTCCCACAAAGCTTGAGCAACAACAGAGGGAAGCAGAAGCCTAGGGAATCCCCTGCGGAGATCTATAGATGCTCCTGGATATTCAGGGCGCCAGTGACACATCAGAGGAAACACCACAAACCTGTATCCCCAGACCCCCGGCGTCGTGTTTTTTGTTCTGGGGTGTTCCGCTTCTGAAGCGGAAGATGGGACATCTGGACTTCTTCCCTGACATCTGGACTTCTTCCCTGAGAAGAGCTGTTAAGCTTGAGCCGGTATTTTGCCGGCCTCGGGGCCCAGTAAGGGCGTCAGTGGCGGCGAACGTTTCCACAAACCTCCAATTGACTTCATCACGACGCGATGGGGGTTCTGGAACTCCTATATCCGCGAGCCCCGAAAACAATTGCCACATCAAATCCAGTCAACACCAGGTCCAGTCTGCCCAGTCTCGACCCTTCAGGTCCAGGCCTCGAGCACACATCATGAGAACATCACCAACTGAAGCTCGGAGACATCCGAACACCCGTGGAACACATCCGAAAACATCCGAGAATCTCCAGAAACATCTTATACAGACCGAACAACGTCCGCGAGCATCCCAAAGCCGCCAGCAGCCATCAAAGGCCTCTGGAAGCCCACACACCAGCAATTATCTGAAGCCTCCGAAAGCTGTCGACACACCTCCGAAGGGCGGGCGAAACCGCGGAAATCATCCGACATGTCTTCCGAACGCTTCCGAACATGTCCCGCGCGCCTCCGAACAAAAAGCATCGAGGAGGGCCCTCCGCAGACATCCCGCGTGCCGATTCTCCTGGGGGCGCGGGGGCCCCTGGACATCTCGACCCCCTCCCCCCCGGGGCCAGAATCTCGTCCCGAACCGTTTCCTGACTCGTTAAAGGCTTAACGACTTCTGCCGTCCTTCGACTCGCGCTGGAGCGGCCGCGAAGTGCTCGAACTTTCCCTGGAGATCTCTGGATTTGCCTGGATTTACCAAGATTTATCTAGATTTACCTGGATTGACCTGGATTTACCTCGATTTATCTGCACTTACCTGGGCTTATCTGGCTCGATTCTCACAAGTCGATTGGCGAAAAGTCGACAAGCCCTTAGGGACTGACGGCCCCGAGGCCCGACACTGGCCTCCAGAGGCAGACATGGCGACAGACCTGCCGCTCCGATTTTTGTTCGCAGGGCGTCCGGTGTCTCACTGCAGCGACCCTGCAGACGTGCTGCAGCGGATTGTTGCGTGGCTGTCTGCCAGTGCAAAACCCCGAAACGGCGAGTGAAAAACGAAAGGAATTTCGCGTGGATCTTTCTGAGCCTTCGTTCCTGGCCACAAAACATCCGCACGAAATTCACCTCGAAATCCCGAACGACATTCCCCAGGACACCCCCGGCCCATCCCATCGTTTTTCGAACGAAATCCGCTCTGCGATGTTGGCGCCATGAGATGTCTGGCGAAGGTTCCGAGAGAAGCCATCGGCACGCACCCCCGAAGAGCCACCGGGTGCCGAGGAACACCCCCCGGAAGCCTCCGATGGGGCATCCGAGCTGCCACCCCCAACGAAAACTGCCGACGATGCGCCCGAGCAAGAAGCCACCGATCGGGGGTAACGAAAGGAGGGGATAGCAAAGGGTAGGGTAGAGACTCAGCTCGCGCAGCTGATCTTCCCAGCGCCTCCAGGCGCCCATGTATCGAGGAACGGGCCCGGCGGCGGGGCCGAAACCAGCTGCATGCAGCAGATCTCGTAACCACCCTTTCCCCTATCCCCCCCCTTCCGCTCGGCCCAGCCCGCGGGAGGTGTCCGAGACGCGCGCTGCGGGCCGGGCGGGCGCGGCGCGGTCCTCGCCCTCGGGGGCCAGGTCCAGGATCACGCTGGCGAGGCCGGGGTGCCCGGCCTCGCCCCAGCCGAGGGTGGCGCTCTCGAGCAGCTGCCTTCGGAGGGGGGGGGGCTCGAGGCCTTCGGAGGGGGGGGGGCTCGAGGCCTCGAGGCCTCGAGGGGGTGGCGCTCTCGAGCAGCCGCCTTCGGAGGGGGGGGGCGTCGAGGCCTCGAGGAGGAGGAGGAGGGCGAGGCGGAGCGAGGCGCGCAGCTCCGAGGGAGCGGGGCCCTGTGGAGGGTCGGCACCCTCCTCCTCCTCCCTCCTCCTCCTCCTCCTCCTCCTCTCCTCCCCTCCTCCTCCTCCTCCCTCCTCCTCCCCCCCCCCCTCCTCCTCCTCCTCCTCCTCCTCCTCCTCCTCCCCGAGGGTCGGGGCCCCTGCACCGTGGTGTCGGCGCTCACCTGGCCCGAAGAAGTTCTCAAGCAAGCCGCGGCGTGTGTGGTCCATTGATCGGCAACCAATGTCGTTGGGTGCTCTCGAGGGGGAGGGGGGGATCGAGGGAGGATTCAGGGTACATTCCTTTGGGCTTCTCTGCGCCCTTGGGGCCCGCTTTGGACGCCCGGGGGCCGTCAGGAAACTACCTGGGGTGAGAAACTGGCCAGGGTGGCACTCAGGAGGGGTCCAAGAACCGATTTTGAATGGAGTTTTATCGGGGAGGAAGAGAGGAAGGAGGACGATGAGAGGATGTTGATAAAGATGATGAGGAACATGATGCAGCTGATGATGATGACGATGATGACGGTGATGATGATAAAGGAAAGTGGGCGCGGAGGAACACGATTCTAAGAGAGGGTAATGGGGCGATGATGGATACAATATGATATGATGACGAAGATGATGACAATGATGAGGGCGAGTGTATTTTGCCTTTGAATGTGCTCTACCATGTTTGCGCCTACGGATATCTCGGGGGACCTCTGGACGCCTCGAGAAGCCTCGAGTTTGTTGAGGTCTACATGAGGAACCTGCATTGAATGAGGTCTTGGTTCGATCATTCTGAAGGCCCTCATGGATCGTGCGTGTGTACGTGTGTGTATGGATGCATGTGTGTAAGTCTGTGTGTAGGTGTATGTGTGTATATGTGTATATGTGTGCACATTGTGTATATATATATATATATGCACAGGGAATATTATTTTAAAAAGCAATGCACCCTCGTGAATCTGGGGAATCCCGGGCCCCCGGGCCGCCGGGGAGACCCAAAACGGCTCCACGGGCGAAGAGGGCCTCCACAAGGGCCTTCGGGTCTGCCCGCGGGGGCCCCCACGACGGTCCGAGATGTTCTAAGGACGGCCGGCAAGGCTTCCAAGACGCCCCTGGAGGGCCCAAATACAATCGGGGCGTTGACCTAAGGAACGATAAATAAGGAACGAGGCCCCTTTTTCCCATAAGTTAACTCCGATGTTCCATGGAAAACCCCAGGAAAACCCAAGGAGCACTGTAAAGCAACTAGGAAACACGGAGCCCCTCCCCAACAAAAAGGGTTCCTTCTTCAGGGCCCCGACTGTAGACAGGGGAAGGCTCTGCTTTCATCTTTTTGTTGCGCCTTTGGGCTAGTGGGAAGGTTCTGCTTTCATCTCTCTGTTGCGTCTTTGGCCTAATCAGAACTAACGTAATGATCAACATCGTGGTGAACAGGGCGACAGCACGAATGGCAACATGCTGGTGATGATGATGAGGACGCTGGCGGGGATGGCAGCGGTGCAGATGTCGCTGGGGATGAAGTTGCATGAGGCGAGACGGTTGCCCTTCCGGGGCGGGGAACGCGTGTGCGTGCGCGTGCGTGTGTGTATATATACATATAGGTACCGTGTTGGGTTTTTGGTTTGTGTCGAATGCTTTTTTGAGTATCTTGCGTTGCTTAATATGTTACGTTGTTTGTCTGCGCGTGCAGTGTCAATTCTTCATTGCTGAGTTGATTTGTTGTACTTCTTGACATGTGTAACATGCTGGTTATTTTTGGTTGTCGATTTGTGCTTGTTGCTGCTGCTGTTGCTGCTGCTGCTGTTGTTGTTGCTGCTGCTGTTGCTGCTGTGTCCGTTCGATGTTGTGTGCTTTTGTTGATGACATGTGCCTTTGTGTTATGATCCCCAATTGTTTTAGTTTGTCTATGGGTTGGCTAGTTTGTTATTGTGTGTTGGTGCATGTTCCCCACATCTAAGGTGCTGTTTTTGTTTGCTCTGTGCCCCCCCTGCGCAGAATCTCCTCCTGCTCATCCTCCTCCTCCTCCTCCTCCTCCTCCTCCTCCTCCTCCTCCTCCCCCTTCCCCACTCACACACCCACACAACCACGCACTCATGATCATGATCATGATCATGATCATGATCCGCATCACCATCATCATCACCAGCAGCAGCAACAGCAGCACCACCATCGTTCTCCACATGGGCACCCCGCGCAAGACCACACCCGCCCACGCGCACACACCTCATCATCACCACCATCATCATTGCCATCATCATACGTCCACTCACACTCACACACTCACGTATTCACCTTGAGGAAGTCTCGAGCGGAAGCCCCCCCCCCCCCTATGGGGCCCGCACTTCATGTTCGAATCCGAGCGGGTCATCGGAATCACCTACAAGGCATCGCGCTTGAGTGCTCCAAGGGGGCAAATCCTAAGGATGTTTTGAGCGGGAGCCTCGCTTGTGAGTGACTTGCGAGGAAGTCTCAGGCGGGCGCCCCCTCCCTACGGGGCCCACAATTCGTGTTGGTAATCCGAACGGGTCATCGGAATCACCTACTTGCCAGGCATGACATTTGAGCACCCTAGGAGACAAATCGTGAGGATGTCTCGAGCTGGGGCCTCGTTGGCTAGCGACTTGCGATGGAATCTCAGGCGGGTGCCCCCTCCCTATGGGGCCCGCACTTCATGTTCGAATCCGAGCAGTCCATCGGAAACAGCTACCAGGCATACCACTTGAGCTGCCCGAGCGGTCAAATCGTGAGGATGTTTTGAGCGGGGGCCTCGTTTGTGAAATAACTGCGAGGAAGTCTCAGGCGGGCGCCCCCTCCCTATGGGACCCGCACTTCATGTTTGTAATCCGAGCGGGTCATGCGTGCGTGCCGAGTAACATCGACATGCGTGCCCCGGCCAGAAGGAAGGACATGTGCATGAGGAGAACAGGCGGGATGGAGATGAGGAGAGGCAGACTGAGGAAGAGGTAGAGGACGACAAGGAGGAGCAGGAGAAACAGGATGAAGAGGAGGAGGAGGAGAAGGAGGAGAAGGAGGAGAAGACATGGAACGAGAGGCCGAGAAGGAGGAGGGGACGGAGGAGGAGGATTAGGAGGAGGAGGAGGAGAAGGAAGAGGAGGAGGAGGAGAAGGAGGAGGAGGAGGAGGAGGTGCAACAGAGGGCGGAAGGAAGGCCTCCACCAAGGCGAAAAGGAAAAAACGAGGGGCAAGCTGAACATATTCTCATGTGGGGTCCTCCCGCAGGAGTTTCTTTTTTGTTATTGTCTTGTTTATCCTGCACACTGATTTTGACGCTCTCGCCATGTGGGGCTTCCGGCAGCCTCAGACGGCCCCGAAGGCCACCAATGGCCCCAAGAAGCTCCCAAGAGGGCCCCAATCAGATCCGATATGGCCTTCAACATGGCTGAGATAGCCCAAGATGGTCTCCAGGACGGCACTCTGTGTGTGCGCGCTTTCAGCTGGTTTTGGTGCTCTCGCCATTCCTGACCTCCGGCAGCCTCAGACAACCCGACAGGCCTCCAAGATGGCCCCAAGACGGCTCAAGAGGCCCTCAAGAGGAGCAGGAGGAGGAGGAGGAGGAGGAGGAGGAGAAGGAGGCGGGGGTCTGGGCTCGGGGGGTGACAAGTTCCCCCTGGACCCGCCCCGGGGCGCCTGACTGGCCAGAACTTCCAGTGGGGAAGGCCAGCCGTGGCCGCGAGAGCGCCCCCCTGAGAGCTGCGAGCGATCCGAAAAGCATAGATGTTCGATCCTCGATCCTCGAGCCTCAATCCTCGCCCCTCCCCCGTAGGCCTCGTGTTCCCGTTGCAGAGGCGCACCCCGTCCATGGAGATCACCACCCGGCGCCGCCCGCCCGCGCACTCCCTGGCGGCCCTCCACAGCATGCCTGGCGAGGGGCCACAAGGGCACGCGCGCGTCGAGGCCTCGAGGAGCCCGACGACCTCGAGGATCGGCGCCCAGGACCCGGGGATCCGACGTCCTGCCTCTGTTGACGCGGGGCACCCTGGAAGTCAAGCCTCGACCTGTTGCCCCCGGGGCCAGCTGCTCATATCCCGAGCCGTCGTTCGACGGCCCCCCGCGGCCCAGCGAGGGTCCCTGGAGGCCGAGATGGGGCGAACAGCTCCCGTCGTGACCTGTTCACGACGCGAGCATGTCCGGGACCCGAGATTCTGGCCCGAGCGGCGCGGGAGTGAATGCAGTCGACGCTGGCGGCGCTCTGAGGGGGGGGGGTGCGAGTCCTGACATCAGGCTGCCCCCGCCCCCTCCCTCTCCCCCTCCTCCTCCCCCTCCCGCTCCCCCTCCTCCTCCTCCTCTTCCTCCTCCTCGGGACCGGACCAGATCACATCGTCGGAAGTCGTCTGGCGGCGCGCACGAGGGGGGTGGGGGGAGAGGGTGAGGCTTCTTCCAGGGAGGCTGCTTCTCAGAGGCGCGGGCCCTGCACCTACGGAGAAGGCCCGCGCCTTCTGAGAAGCAGGGGGGCTTCCCAGGAAGCCTTGCCCCCTCCCCCCTGCCCCCCCCCCCCCCTGCTGCGCGTGGCCGAGGGGGGGCGAATGCGGGGAACGCGCTGGCCACGGCGCCCCGGGCGGCGAGCTGCCCGCGCAACGGCGGGCTGCGCCAGAGCATCCCGAGGACGGCGGGGCTCGGACGCCCACGGGGGGCCCCACCTGAGGGGCAACGGTCGGGGGGGGGGGAACCCGCGCAGGGGCGGGGAGGGGGAACTCGGCGATGCGTTGCCGAGGCGTGTGACCTGCAACCCTCCGCGGAACCCCACGCACATTTTGCCGACTCCCCCCTGGCCCCCACTGGGATGACCGTGGGGGGTTCTGAGCGGATAGGGGGTTCCAAATGGATACCAAGGTGGATTAATTATATCTGGCCCAACCTGGCTTATAAATGGGCTACACATGCCCCACGTAGGGGGTTAACGATCTGGGCTAAGTGGGCTCCGCCCACTTAGCGGAGTTAACTACCCCCATAAGCCACTCGGGGTTCTTGGAACCCACTTGTAAGCCAGGTTGGGCCAGATATAACCCACCTCGGCATCCACTTGTAACCACCCTATCCTCTTAGAACCCCCCACGGTCATCCCAGCAGTCCCAATTTTCAGTTGCGCGCGCGGCACGGTCCGCGGACGCCGACGGAGAATTTGAAATCACGTCTTCTGGCATCAACGTTGAACTTTGGGGTTCCTGGAGCGCCGACACGGCGCGGGAAAACACTGCGCTAAATTTCGCGGAGGCATGTATACTTGGACGCCCGAAATGTGTACGGAAAATATGGGTACATTCCCAACAGCACACATAGTCTCAAACCGACAACGGCCGCTCTTGGGCAGGCGGCCTTCTGTCTCAAATGAACATCGTTCGCGGCGACACCGACAGCGAGTCCTTTTCAGAATGAGCAAGAAATGCTGCCGGTCTTTGTACCCATTCTTTCCGTACCCGTTTCGCTCGTCCCGATCCTGCCGCCCCAGGGTGCCGTAGTCGGGCGTGCCCGGGAACGTCGCGAGGCCGCTCTCGGTCCCGTCGGGCGCCACGAAGACGACGCGCACCTGGTCCACGAGGACGAAGCCGCCGTCGAGGGCTTCGTCGGGGCTGGCCGCTGGCGCGGGGTGCCCTCCCTCGGCCGCGGGGCATCCCTGCTCGAGGCCCCCCCAAGAGGGCCAGAGTGCGGCCGGCTCCTGCCGCGGCGACGCGTCGGCTGTGCGCACGAGCGGCCCTCGGCAAGAATTGCCCTGCGGTGCGCGGCACCAGAGCCGCCGGGGGCCAAAGCTGAGCGCGCGAGTCGATGCCTGGGGCACCCCTGTGGGCCCGCACCACAGGTCACTCCAGCGAAGGGCCACTCTCACGCGCAGCCGAACGTGGTCGTTGGCTCCCGGCACCGCGGTTCAACCTCGGGGATCTTCCGTCTCTGGCGGCCAAGATCGTTCAAGATCGGCCTGGCTCGGGCCGCTGGGGGCCTCCAACCTTCAACTCCCGCGCTGGCGCCGCCGCCGCGCGGGCGCGCCGCGCACCTGCCGCAGATGGGATCGGATGATCTCATCGCATCGGCGATGAGTGCGCGGAGAGGATCTGGCACTGGCTCGGCTGCACGGAAGAGTGACCCTAGGCAAAGGTGACCTTTGGTGCGCAACTCTGGGGGGTCGCGAGGGGGCCAAACCCGCGGGCGCAGGCCGCTGCCATCGCATCGTATGCAACGATCGGGGGGCCCCAGCGGGCCCGCACCAAAGGCCACTCCGGCGCAAGGTCACTCTTACGTCTAGTCGAGAGCATAGGGAGGAGGAGGAGGAGGAGGAGGAGGAGGAGGAGGAGGAGGAGGAGGAGGAGGAGGAGGAGGCTCTCGCTCGCGCCGCATCACCGACGCATCGGCGCTGCGGGCGCGACGCGCTGGCCCCATCTGCTCTGGCCCCGCTCGGGAGGCCTGGGCCTGCTCGGGCGGGGAGCGGCCGCCCACGTGGCGGCCCTGCGGCGCGGGCTCCGCCCCCGCGGGCTCACGGGGGGGCCCTGCGGGCCCCCCCGGGGGCTCCAGGCGCGCCGGGGTCGCCATCGCCCCGCGCCGGTCGCCGAGCTCCGCTTGGAGGGCGCCGCCGCCCGAGCACCCCCCGCTGGCCGATGCGGTGCTGCGGGGCAAACGCAGTGGTTGACGGCGGCGACGAACGAACGAACGAACTGCCATACGCCGGAGCGCGTGGGGGCAAAAGACAATGCCAGCCTGAACTCGCCGCTTTGCGGGAGCGACTGCACGTCGGCTGTCTCATAATGCACAGCGTGCGCGATGGGAGGAGGAGGAGCAGCAGCTGAATGTGGTGGTGCTGGTGGTGCCGATCACCGGGGATACACTGTGTGGCAGCCGCAGGAGCCCCATGAAGGGTGGACCTTGCTTCGGGGCCATCTGTTTCCCGCTGCAGCGCGCACCCGCACCAATGTCTCACGGTGCAAACACGTCTATCGTACGATGCCAACGAAACTCGTAGTTATACTGAAGAAGGTCACGTTCGTATCGACGCTCGTCTGTATTGAGACGGCGCCATAGTGCAGCAGCGAGTCGCGAGCAGCAGAAGAGAGGCGAGGGAGACGAGCGCAAGGGAGGAGACGCTTGGGGCTGAACTGGCGGCCCACGGATGTCTTGCAATAGCATGAAAATCACAGCCTCTATCTCACGGATTTCCCTGGAGGGGGTTGCTCTGCGACAGGTGCGGCCACTTGACAGAAGGCCTTCGCACCAATCATCAGTGCAACTGGGTATTCTCCTCTCCCTTCCCTCACGCCCACTCCAAGAGTAACCGCTGCAGTGAGGGCATCCACCCAGACCACAAGACAGGGTCGGCTCAAATACTCTCTGAAGTACTGCGGCGTCGACTTTTTGACCGACTGGCTGGAGCTTCCCTATGGATGACATCCCACATCGAGCGCCCCCGCTCGAGCCAGCGCGCAGTCCGTTGAGAGCGGATGTCGCTGTAGATGCTGTGCCTGACACTTTCACCACCCGCGGAAGGTGGTCCACCACATGGCCTAGAACAATAACGGGCTCAAATACTATGCAAGTCTGTGCTTAGCACTGTGTGGTAGCATGTGGGAATCCAGTATCCCAAATAATTGTCATTGGACCGTATGTCTGTGAAAAGACGAAAACAACGAGTTGTCTCTCCTCGTGGGCTTGTAGATCGCGATGCATGCGGGAATGAATTATTCCACATCGTGGGATTGTAAATCCGTGGTGCCACCGGAGGGGGGACCTTTGATGTCATCATGTTGGACGGGGGTGGACTGGCTTCTCCATCTCTCTCTCTCTCAAGATATATATATATATATAAACACTGTATCTCTCTCTCTCTCAGCTTCTCTCGTTTGCCGAACTATTCTATGTTCTTTGTGCTTCACCTAGGTTTGGAGTTTGGCTGCCTGCATCGTTGACAACTCTGTACGTATCTGTATTTCCCTCCTCCCCGACGTCATTCCGTTCAGACTCTGTCCCCCGACCACTCCCAAGGTTCGTTCTCCTTCCAAGGTTCATTCTGTCCGGCTTCTCACCCTGGATAGACTTGGACTGGCCCCGGGATCCAAAACAGGCCCCTGGGAGCCGAAACCGACCAAAACCTGGCTCCTCGAACCTTGATCCTCCTCCTCCTCCTTCTCCTCCTCCTCCTCCTCCTCCTCCTCCTTGAATCGACCTCCGGTTCTCGCCAGAGGTGCGTCCCGATCATAATCTCGAGACGGAGTCCGCCGTGGCGATGAAACGCCCCTCCGAGGCCCCAGGCGGGCGAACGGAACAGGCAAAGACCCGGATCCTCGGAGTTCGAGCGCCCCCGGGCCCCAGCGAAGCAGGGAAGGGCCCAAGGACGCACAAGCAAATGTGCAAACATGCCAACATCCCCTGTCTTTTCCCACGCTCTCTGGACTCTCGTCTCCCCCTCCGCCTCCCACCTTCTCCATGCTTTTCCGGGGAGCCGACGACTCTTGCTGCCTGCGTGTCCTTGCCCTCCTGAAAAAAAGAGAGGAGGCCCGCGCCGTCCTACGACGATGGTGTTCCTGCGGTCGGACCCGAAGGTCCAGGGCAGCTGCGGCAGGCCCCTCAGGCCCGTGCGCGAGATGTGGCGGCCCTGGCGCGCGTGCGCCCGGGCGCCACCGCCGTCGCCGCGGCCGAGAGTCGAGGACCGACGCCCGAGGACCACGAGGCTCGAGCACCTCGAGGTTTGATAGTGCCCTTTGGGTCGAAGCTCGACGACCGCCGTCGCCGTGGCCGAGGGTCGAGGCATTGGGTGCTCCTTCGGCCCTCTGCGGGCCTCCCTCGGGCGCCCTCGCTGCCGCGGCCGGGCCCCCCCTCGAAGGGCTGGCCAGAACGCACTGCAGGGAGAGATCTTGGGGTCAGTCGTGGGTCGTCGGTCGTCGGTCGTGCGTCGGCAGTAGTCCGTCGTCTGTCGTCGTCGTCGTCGTCGTCGCCGTCGCCACCAGCGCCACACCCGCCGCCGTCGTCGTCGTCGTCGTCGTCGTCGTCGTCGTCGTCGTCGTCGTCGTCGTCGTCGTCCTCGTCGTCGTCGTCGTCGTCGTCGTCCATGAAGCCGTGGCCGCGGGGGGCTTGGCGGGACCGCCGCGCAGGGCCTCCACCGATCGGGCAGCACATGCCTTGCTGTGGCCGAGGTGATGCGCTCTGCCTGCGCGCACGGCCGCTGCGCGCTGCTTGCCCCCGCGTGCGGTGGGCCGGCTCTGCGCGCTCGCCTGCGTGGTGGAGCGCCTGCGCTCCCGATGGCACGCGCTTGCGCGTGCCTCCGTGCCTCCGGTGCTTGCGCGCCAGCGCGCGTGGATGCGCGGGCCTCCCACCCGAGGACTGTTCTCCGATGGTGAGCGGGTGCAGCGCGCGCACCGCGAGGCCAGGCCCCCCACCCCCCACGCCTGCAGGGCAGACGCGGCACGGGGCCACGCCGCCTCGACGTGGCGGCGGCACGGGCGTTCGAGGCCGAGCACCCTCGGCGTGTCCTTGGCGTCTCCCGGACGTGTGCACTCTTCTCGGCGAGGCCGCGAGCACGCTGCGGAGCGAGCGCGCCGCGGGGGTCGCGCAAAGAGGCGCGCCGCACCCCGCCCGCCGGGCCCACTACACCCGGCTCCGCCGCGGCGGGGCGAGGGCTCTGTGACCGCCCCGGGCGCGCGCCGCAGCCGCGGCAGGCGAGGACGGGAGAGCCCGACCTCGAATCGACAAGTCGGATCGGCGCCGACCCTGCAGAGGGACGACGACGACAGAAATCGGCAGCCAAGTCGGAAGAAGTGGAATCGGCGGAAATCGGCGAGACAGTAAGGCTTCCATTGAGGCACCGGACTCCGACTCGGAATCCGAAATCGAACCGGATCGTGATCGATCGGGGCCCAGCATCGACTCGAGCCGGAGGGGTCGAAATGAGAGCCCTGCGAGGAGGGCGTCGCCCCTCCCCGCCTCCGTCCGCAACGGCCTGGGTCGGCGGCGCTCGCGCCCGCAGGAACGGACCGGCATCCCAGGTTCCCCCCGCGCGCGCGCGCGGAGGTCGTCGGGCGCAGGGCCGAGGGCCGAGGGCCGCGGCGGGCAGCTCCTGGCGAGTGCAGCGAGTCTGGCGCAGCGGTGGCGGGCCCACCGCGCTGCGCCGCGCGTGGGCGCGACGAGAGGGCGGGCCCGGCCGAGGGCAAAGCGAGGGGCCCAGCATCGGGCGGGGTCGGCGGGGGCGGACGTTGAACGAGGGAAGCGGCTGAGGGCGCAATGGCGAGAGGGGAGAGGGTGGACATCGAGACGAGGTGGGGGAGAAGGTCGAAGGAGGAGGAGACGACGAAAGTAAGAGGGAGGGGCCAGGGGAAAGGAAGGGGCAAGGAGCAAGGAGGGGATAGACGGAAGGTATTGGAACAAGTGGACGGGCTCAGTAGAAATGCGACACAGCGGAACGAAACGTGTGATGATGATGTTGTTGTTGATGCTGATGATGATGATGACGATGATGATTTTTGCCAACGCCAGCCATGCCAGATTAGTCGCTTTCCCTGCAGCTTCGCCTACAGCAAGAGCCTTACCCAGTAGCGGTCGTCGCGTCCACAGTCACCACGATGTCATGATCGGCCATCTTCTTTTTCAGGTCGGCGGCGAACTCCGACCACTCCTGGAACGTCACGCTGCGCACAGCTGAGAATGCCCTCTCTCGGACCCGGTCGCACTCCCAGTTCATGGTTTTCATCTCCTGGGTGGGCACGGGCAAGCCCTCCATCGGCAACCTCTGCCCCAGCGGGTTGGTCTCGTCACCCATGTTCGCCAGGTCTTCCTCGGTGAGGGGCTTCCTGGGCCACTCCTGCCTCTGCACGGGGGGGCATCTCCGTGCGGCGGACGCAGAGGGTCATCCAATCCTCCGAGGGCATTGCGAACTCGTTCATGCTGACAATCTGGCTGAAGTAATTGACGCCCTTGAAAAGGCGCCAGCACCAGATGGGCGCTCCCGGTTTCAGCACATTGTCTGCGACCACCAAGGCCCCTGGGAGCATCATCCCGTGCTTCTCCAAATTCACAAAAGGTCCTCGTCGTAACGAGATCCTTTCTGGTCGAAGAAGACGGCGCCGAGCTTGAACATGCCGGGACCGCCGTAGCGCCCCTCTATCCGCGCGACGAAGTCCTTGCTGTGGCCGGTTCAGACGTCGACGCGGTCGCTGATGCCACCGAACAGGTGGACGTTCCTAGATACGATGACGTGCACGGGGTCCACCTCCAGCGTGCAGATGTGGCCTTTGGGGGCCGCCGCAGCCATGCGCAAGGAAGAATAGCCGCAGTAGCAGCCAACCTCCAAGATTGCTCCCCTCGGGTGGGCCGCCCCCACCGCGTTAGTGAGGACAAGAGTCTTCACGTCCCCCGCGATCTTGAGCCACTGGCTGGTGGGTCCCAGCGCATCTGTACCCTACGATTCTGTGGCGTTGCGCACGGACGCGGGGTCGCCCTTGGTGGCGGTCTCGAACACGTGCCTAAGCAGGCGCAACTCCTTCGAGGAGGGCTTCCCAGCAGGCACCTTCGGAATGTCCGTCATCAGCCCCAGGGGCTTCGTCACCTCTCGGCTCGTTCCACCTCACCGTCTCCGCCTTGGCCGCCGGCGCCAGGGGCGCCAGCGGGGACACCGAACGCTTCGTCGCTGGCGGAGCTTCGTTCTCGGACTCGTCCTCCGTGCTGCCTCTGGCGGCCCGCACCAAGAGTGATGGGCTTGTTTTCCACCACCACCACCATAAGTTGGAGGGGGAGGGGGGCCTCCTCCTCCTCCTCCTCCTCCTCCTCTCCCTCCTCCTCCTCTCCGTCCTCCTCCTCCTCCTCCTCCTCCTCCTCCTCCTCCTCCTCCTCCTCCTCCTCCTCCCCCCCTCCAACTTATGGTGGTGGTGGTGGTGGAAAACAGGCCCATCAAAGAGCACCACCCGTGCGGGCGCCTTCTGCGGCCTTCAAGGCGCCCTCCGCCTCAGCAGCAGCGCGGCCCCGGCGAGCGCGGCGGCGGCGGGCGGCAGTGCCGCCGCGGGCGCCTGGGCTCCCCCGGGGCGCGGCGTCGGCGCGGCCGCCTCGCGCGCTGGCAGAGGCGCGGCGGAGCTGCCGGGCCGCCCCGCGGCCAACGGGGGCACGGCGGCGGGGCTCAGCAGCAGCGCCATCGGTCGGCGGTGGAAAGTTCTGGTTTCCCTAAATAATTGGGCCGCGGGCCAGGCACGAGGTCGGGTTCGGGTGGTCTGGGGAGGCGACGGTGCGAATGAGCGTCAGGCTGCCACTGGTGTTCCCGTGCGCGCACCCCTTGCACCTTGAGCCAAAATGGCTACGGAATGATGACGATGATGATGATGACGATGATGATGACGATGACGATGACGATGACGATGATGATGACGATGATGATGCTGATGATGATGATGATGATGATGATACTGATGATGATGATGATGATGATGATGATGATGATGATGATGATGATGATGATGATGATGATTCCACATCTGGCGGTGTGCAGTAGGATTTCCGTGGGGCGCTACAGTATTACTTCATTTCCCATGTGCGACAGCACCCGAGATCTGGAGGGGAGACACAAGGGCCGAATGCAACTTATCAACACGTACTTGTGCTTGTGTGCACGGGATCGCGCACAGTCATGTATGATCACAAGCCTGCACGCGTTCGCGTGCACGCTTGGCCCCAGTGTCTCCTCCTCGTGACCCCACCCTTCAGCTCATCATCTTCCTCTTCTTCCTCCGTCTGCTTCTTCACCTTGTCCTCCTCCTCCCCCTCCTCCTCCTCCTTCGTCCCTGCTGCTGCTGCTCCTCCTCCTTCTCCACCGCTCCCTCTCCCGAGACCACGGGGGTCTACAGAAGATGCGCGAAGCCTCTGCAGGCGTGTGGTGTCCAACAGCGAAGCCCCAAACACTCAAACATGCGGATGCTCCTCTTCGCCTCCTTCTCCTCTCTCCTATTCCCCTTCCTCCTCCTCGTCTTCGTCCTCGTCCTCGCCGTCGTCGTCGTCGTCGTCCTCCTCCTCCTCCTCTCTTCAATTGCCTGTGGCACTTCCTGGCTCTCCTCGGCGAAACAAAAATTATCCCGGCAAAGCAACCTAACAGCGATGTGTATAAGCATACCTGGAAGCATTCCCCTTACGATTCAGGTGAGAATCCAGTTGTAGAATTCTGCTGTTCTCGCAGTCGCAGTCGCATTCGCAATGACAGTCGCAGTGGCAACGGCCTTAGGATCCAATGGAATCCTAAGGATTCCTAGGGATTCCTCAGGCATCCTTAGGCATCCTTAGGAATCCATAGGAATCTTTAGGAAACCTTCGGAATCCTTAGGAATCCTGATTCCTAGGGATTCCTAAGGATTCATAGGATGATTCCTGAGGATGCTCAACTATGCCTACGGATTCCTAAGGATTCCTAGGGATTCCTAAGGATTCCTAAGGGTTCCTACGGATGCCCCAGCCTGCCTCAGTTTCAGCCTCAGCCTCAGCCTGCCTCGGCTTGCCTCAGCCTCAGCCTCAGCCTGCCTCGGCCTCAGCCTCAGCCTGCCTCAGCCTCAGCCTCAGCCTGCCTCAGCCTCAGCCTGCCTGAGCCTCAGCCTCAGCCTCAGCCTCAGCCTGCCTCGGCTTGCCTCAGCCTCAGCCTCAGCCTGTCTCGGCCTCAGCCTGCCTCGGCCTCAGCCTGCCTCAGCCTCCCCTCCTCCCCCCCCCCCCCCCCCCCTTCCCCCCCCCAGCCTCACCTTGTCTCAGCTTCGGCCTGCCTCGGCCTCATCCTCGGCCTCAGTCTCAGCCTCAGCCTGTCTCGGCCTGAGCCTGCCTCGGCCTCAGCCTCAGCCTGCCTCAGCCTGCCTCAGCCTCAGCCTCAGCCTGTCTCAGTCTCAGCCTGCCTCCTCAGCCTCAGCCTCAGCCTCAGCCTCAGCCTGCCTCGGCCTCAGCCTCAGCCTGCCTGCCTCAGCCTCAGCCTCAGCCTGCATCAGCCTCAGCCTGCATCAGCCTCAGCCTCAGCCTGCCTCAGCCGCAGCTTGCCTCAGCCTCAGCCACAGCCTCAGCCTCAGCCTGCCTCAGCTTCAGCCTCAGCCTCAGCCTGCCTCGGCTTGCCTCAGCCTCAGCCTGCCTCGGCCTCAGCCTCAGCCTGCCTCAGCCTCGGCGTCAGCCTCTCAGCCTCAGCCTGCCTCAGCCTCAGCCTCAGCCTCAGCCTGCCTCAGCTTCAGTCTCAGCCTGCCTCAGCCTCAGCCTGCCTCAGCCTCGGCCTCAGCCTGCCTCGGCCCCAGCCTGCGTCAGCATCAGCCTCAGCCTGCCCCAGCCTCAGCCTGCCTCGGCCTCAGCCTCAGCCTGCCTCGGCGTGCCTCAGCCTCAGCCTCAGCCTGCCTCGGCCTCAGCCTGCCTCAGCTCGGGCATTCAAAATATGGCACAGGACTGGTGTTCTGGGAACACGAAGATCACTAAGTGGCCCACAGTTGGCTCCGGGCAATCAAAATGTGGCCTGGGAATGGTTTTCTGGGAAGACGAAGAACACGAAGTGGCCTACAGTTGGCTCCGGGCATTCAAAATATGGCCTGGGAATGGTTTTCTGGGAAGACGAAGAACACGAAGTGGCCTACAGTTGGCTCCTGGCAATCAAAATGTGGTACAAGAGTGGTGTTCTGGGAACACGAAGAACACGAAGTGGCCTACAGTTGGCTCCGGGCACTCAAAATATGGCCTTGGAGTGATGTTCTGGGGAGTCCCCGGATCCTCCCCAGGAGTCCCCGGATTCTCCCCGGCATCCGCCCAGATCCCCCTGGGGAGTCAAGATGCTCCCTTTTGAGCCCACTGGAAACCTATCAGTCTTCGCTGTTAGGTAAGGAAGCAAGAAGACCCAGCCGGGCGGGCGCGACCGCCCGCCTCCTGCGCGAAGAAGGACGTGAACGTGGACCCGGAGTCCGGCGACGCGAGCTCGGAGGGGAACTCCACCAGCGACAGGGAGAAGGAGTCCGACCTGATCGAAGACCGAAGTTCGACTCCTCCTCCTCCTCCTCCTCCTCCTCCTCCTCCTCCTCCTCCTCCTCCTCCTCCCCCTCCTCCTCCTCCTCCCCCTCCTCCTCCTACTCTTCCTCCGCCTCCTCGTCCTCCTCCCCCCCCCCCGCCCCTTTTGCCCACTGCCCCTCTTTCATCCCCAACGATCGCGCAGGAGCCGGGCCTCGGAGGGAGGCGGAGCGGACTTCAAAAAACTGGTTTTTGGGTCTCCCTGGACGCCCCCCTGGCCACGAGCTGGGCTCCCGCGGAGCTTCTGGCCAGGGCAGACCCCTGCACTGGGTCCGGGGCTCCGCTCCAGACCCCCGAGGTGAATCCTGCGGCCTCACGAGGACATCGCGGCGGCCGATTTTTCCAAATTCTGGGCGCTCGTGTTCGTGCGTGCTGGGCACCGGGGCCATACAGAAACGACGTGAGACGATCAACACGTGGCCTTGGCCCAGGGGCCCAGGAAAAGGCACTTGGGATGTGCCAGCGGGGAGCCCAGGAAAGGCATTTTGGAGGTGCCTGCGGGCGCCTGGGGAAGGTACTTGTGCAGTGCTTGCGGGCGGCCGGTTGGGAGCTCTGGGGGCCGACGCGCCCGACCTCGGGGATGGCCAGTGAAACAGAAAACTGCACACACATAAACTTTCGGACGTCCGCGTCCCCGGGCGCCCACAAGGAGGAGTGTGGTGCGCGGGTCTAGCGCCAGCTCAACTTCGCGGACGCCTGGACATTTTGGTTCATG